TGACACAACAATCACAGGAAACGACAACCACAGACCACATCGTCAGAGCAAGTCACTAAATCACTCACGGAGAGATAATGAGATCTCACTTCATACAGAAGTGAGTGCTGATGATGTCGTCCAGAAAGACGATGAAAACCTCACGATTCAACAACCCAGCTCAGAGAACTCGATAAAACCAATATGCCTACATTCCGCGACACCACTCAAAATGACAGTCAGAAAAATCATGGATTCATGTTATATTTTTAGTTTACCTGCCTCGCAGTTTCTTCTGTCTTGAACCTACATTAGCTGACAATGTGCGACGGGACAGACAGCAACTAGGTATGAGCTGCCCATTGACTGACTTTCCTCTTTATCTACAACTCTATTACTGACTTCGCGAAACCACGACACACGGCTTATGTCACGAAAGTGATGGTGGTCAAACTCTCAAGACCTCCGCATGTCAGCTACATTTAATAGCCATGTTTCACAAGCATATGTTAGAATAGAGAAAACTATTACGCAGAACAGTAGATCCGTAATAGATAGTTGAATATCTCGTTGGAACGATGTATCAAGTAGGTTGGCAAAAGCCAACTGATTCCTTGCATTTGTTCAGAGGTTTTGTAGGTCAATGAATTGTCAAGGTTGATGTGACTTCTCAGGTAAATGAAGTGGTGGATACACTCAACAACTTCACTCCCTATTTGTAAAGAAGATACCATCAAAGACCAGTTTTAGGACAGCAATATGCATCTGGGCGGTGACAAACTCATCCCAAATATTCTTTAATTGTGACTCAAGGTATCCACAATTCTTTACACCTCGTCAATATCTTCATCTGTAAGAGATATCGTCTGTGCACTCTAGGTCCACTGAAGAGTCGCCTGTAAAGTAAGACGACGGAGACCACCGTATGTAAGTATATGACAAAATTAAGTAAAAATGGAGAGAATGAATATCATTTATGGATACCCCTCGACAAACAGAACTCATCTGAATACTCACGAGAGGTTCAAACACGCCCACGGGTGTTCCAAGGCAGAACATTCAACAATGAGATGTACTCATCTGGCGCATTTTCAGTGAGAAATACTGCCATTGGACCGCTTGATCAGCAAAGCCGAATGCTACCTTCAGGTCAGTAAATGCAGCTAGCTTAGGGTGCTATTAAATAGGCCTGTGGTCCGGGACCTTATGGAGAGTCAACAACTAGTTTCTGCAACCATGATCAGGTTTTAGACACATGTGTCAAAATGATTCCAATGTTTACCACAAAAATATTTCGCCTTTCTTGAAGACCGAGACAATTAGTCATTGAAATTTATCAGAGAGGATCATATTTGATTCCAGTACACTTCTCATGCACTTTAGTTACTCAGACTTAAAATCGTTGATCTCCGGTACTAGCTCATCTGACTCAGCAACCATTTCTCTTTTCAACCTTTTCAAATTCTGCAAAAGCTGAAGGTTATCTGCGTCTCGTTCGTGGTTAGACAGAATAACTGACTACGGAATAGTAGATGGAACCACTTGAACAGTTCTTCCATGTGTTCTAGCAAACCCTCATGCAAGTGAATTGCAAACGCACCTTTCAACGTTATAGCTCGACTAGCCATTGACCTTTATGCCTGTTTTCTTGGTAAGTCTAAGTAGCTGCCTACCGTCGCCTTTCCCTTCGCCTTAGAATTTGCTGCGCACCAATGGCCCCAGTTCTCACACAAACTTTGTGTCAGTCTGCTTTTCAGTTGCTTACGCTCCTCGTTAAGCTCGGAGTCTGCAAGAACACAATTAAGCTCACCAACTGATACAAAAAAGATGCTAAGATCCACTGGTCATGCCTCATCAATTTCTGAGTGTCAGCCACTGTCTGACGCTGCTCCTACCGCACACTGGATGCATCGCCAGACTTCTATCGGATAAGTGAATTTGTTCTATCCTGATAACTGACTAATCAGCTTCTAGCTGAAAGTAACCTGAGTATTCTCGTCGTCAAGCTGTGCTCACAGCGGTCTTGTTGCTGTTGTCCTACGTCAATTCAGACTCAAACGTAGGCGACCAAAGTTAACTGTTCACTCGACTGGGATTTAGAAAGTGCCTTTCTGCTTGACTTAACCTGTCCACTTGTGCATGGAAATCACCTACTGCAACAACCACGTCGGCGTGCTTGGGTTTCAATGGGAGAGTAGACAGTTTTCGGCAGAACTCAACTTTCACTTCCTCCGAACTGTATTCAGTGGGTACGTAAGTAGAGATGATAAAGAGACAACGGCGAGTCTCCCAATTCCTTTTTGTCATCATTGTACCGTTCAGCTGGGTGACTGTATCCAGGGATCCAGTCGAGTAGTTAACTTTCTAACTTAGTGTTAAATTCTATGCCAACACCTGTAAGACTATAAGATCTAACCATCAAATCTCCAGAAACCCGAAGGGTGAATTCGCGGATTCAACATCTTGGCCAAGTGAGTTTAGGGGAATAACCACACTTGGGTCTTGTATGCGTGTCTCACAAACTTAAGAAACATCCTTGAGCCGAGTAGCTAGAGTTTTAGCCAGAGAAGCTTGTTGCTAGATGTGGACATTGAAAGCTTCACTGCGCAGCTTGAAGCGCGGTTTCAGAGGACCAGGGGCGCTGTTGTAAAAGTTCAAATCATTACCAAGAGCTTCAGACCTGCAATAAATGAAAGATGACGCAGGAATACTGACCGAGAGAATGATTAAAAGATAAAGGTGTTGATAATAAGCTAAAGGAATCTAAACACCATACTGTTCAGTTGGTAAACACCTACTGTTAAGATTATGGTCATTCCCAAAACGGGTTGTCGGGATTAATTTTAGGTTTTCTTACATAAAATGTTATTGTAATACAAACAAAATGTAATTTTGAATTTCGGAAAATCATGATTAGCCTGCACCACTGAATAATAAAGACTAGATTCATTGGTGAGTGAACAGTCATTGTTGCACTCAGTTCAAGTGTCTTATTGCGTTCAGTAATGTAAGTACCTCAAAGTCTTATTCCACTCGGTAACTTCATTTAACATTTGAAACTTAGTCTAATATCAGGTCTAAATTTTGTTCGATTAGGTCTTACGTATCTAAACCAAATTGACTTACTACTAATTACTTTTTACTACACTGCTGCGGCACCATCATAATCCCGAACACAGACTAGCGTCTCTAAATAAGTGATTACTGCTAACCATTCATCAAGCTCACGTGTGGTGGTATGACTCACTGTTCTAAGTACTCGACTTCCAACCAGTAAGTCAGGGGTACGAACCTCGCCCCACCCATTGAGGTTTAAGGAGGCAAATAGTAGCACTAGATCTCAAATAATAATTGTGACTAATTTCTATTTTATGAACGTGAATATGGTTGCCGAGGACATTTCGAAGCTCCTGGGTAATGGGTTAAGACAATTTTGTTACTGTTAACTAAACCTGGAAGTTCTTAAAAAAAAGCATAATTTGCAAAGACATTAAAAACGGTTAAACTTCGATATTTGAAAAATTCCGTTACTTGTTTATTGAAAAAAAGTAACCTTGTAATATGGAAAAGAGACGATTTAACAAGTCAAACTAAATAAATACATGAATCTAGTGGATTTGACTTGATGAGAAAGAATACTGTGTACTTGTTGACAGGTAGGGTATTCCGAAAATGCCAAAATGTGTATTCAAAAGGAAGTAGAGGTAAACTACGGATCAATAAATAAGGAGATCCTATTCAAAACTTCCGACCCTTTTAGCCACTGATGAAGACACAGTTAACCGTAGCGAATAAGTTGTTTAGTGGATTGGCGGGATGTAAATCGGGCAGCATCCCGGCAAATTGATAACTATTCGAAGTCCTATAATATTTATTTACTGAGTGCATTAAAATCAGTATAGTTTTTCACGCATAGTTGTTTAAAATCTCTTGAAAAGATGATCTAGTCACAGTATACAATAGCTTGATACAGACATATGTAGTTTCCCAAAGATACATCTGTAGGTCAACCCAACGGCAACTGGTTGTTTGTGACCAACTACTTCTGGTCAGTATGATTTGTGAATGTTTTATTTTATAAGCGATAAACACTATAAAGCAAAAAAGATTGTAATTCGTCTATGAAAAAACTCTGCAGACCTATGTATTTCGTTCTGAACACAAAAGTAGGATATGCAGCCTGAAAATCTCTTCAAATCCAATTAAAAAAGAACTTATCAAGAACATATTCGCTTAAAGGATCTAGAGTAGGAACACAAAATATATTTCGGGCAGATGTAAAATATTAAGTCATGGAAATCCTACACTCCAGGTCACATTACTTAGTAAGAGGCCAAACCAAAAAACGTTCAAAGCAACCAGCGCATGTTTGTGTAGAAGGCAATGAGTTACACCAAGCCTAATGATACCGCTTGCTTCTCAAACCAAGAAGGTGAAGTGAGGCTTGAGTTCATGACCCACTGGAGCTAATTCACCCTGCAATGTGCACAGCAAAACTTTCAGGGTTCAAGATCAACAACTTAATATACATTCCTGAAAGATAAAGTAGACCTCATTGCATGCATTTTGAAGAATGTATTTCCAAAGCATGGTAGCAATCATCTCAACAGATGCAAGTCAGACGATTTTCTATAAGGATTCAACATATCGGGATAGGATAGTTTTTCAATAAATGACTATTTATGAGGCAATGATTATGACGTCATTGAAGTAACGAGAGTTACCTATAACGATTCAAATAATAACTATAAGTTTAACAGTTTAAAACTCCATCTAAGCCACTTTACCAGATTCTACACATTACATCATTCGATAAATGTGATTACCTATTGAGTGAAGATAGTTTCAGTTGCTTTTATCCACATCATTGCTGCACATAAACACAAAGGTCAGAAGCTACACTTACAGAACCCTCGTGAGTATTATGGCAATATAAACAGCTGTATATTATATATATCTTTGTGTGCTGTTTATATCTTTTAAAATATAATCTTTTCCTCATGAAATTATTCCCAAAGTGAGCATGACACCAAAGTGGTAAGAAATGAAAGGGATACGAGTGAATATATGCATATATATTTACTCCACTTCAAGGTTACAGTAATTAGAGTAATTTTTGGTAGGTAGTGATAACTATAATAGTAAAAATACATCGTAAAATTTTATGAGTATTTATGATAAAGGTAGTAAATACTAAAGACTCTACGTGTAAATATGAGATCGAGCAAAAGATGCACAAATATACATATAAACAAACAAATAAATCAATAAGAAACAACACAAATTACTATTTTTATGCAAACAATACAAAGGAAATCTTATCAGTGTAAAGGAAATCAGCATAAAAATCTTTCAAGAATAGAACACCTTCAATTTATAGGACATATAGAAGAGATCAAAGAACAGGGAATGGTAACAGAAAGAAGAAGAATTAGTAAGACAAAATAATTGAATACATTCTTTTTTTATCATGTTCAAACTAATACACTCTTTCTTCATTTTCATTGCAAAGAATAAATTTCAATAATGATAATGAGTACTACATTCAACAAATATGTGTCTGTCTATATAGAGGAGAAAAGGAGATAAACAACTTCTATCATTTAAACATCTATATTCAACTTTAAAAATGTACGGAAAAACATTTTTCAAACAGCATAGAATATTACCAAAATGTAGGTGAAATAATTACATGTTTTATTATTTAATAAATAAATGGATTACTTACTATATTAAAACTACTCAATATACAGAGATGGAGAGATATAGAATGTATGTATGTGCATGTGTGTGTGTGTGTGTGTGACGGGTGAAGTGAGTGAAGAAAATATTCAGGAAGTGGGGAAAAAAAAGGCAGATTAAACGACAAACTACACAGAAATGAAAATATATTTACCTACCTATTGCCATCCTAATTCCGATATGATTGCATAATTTCCATTTTATTGACAATGTATAAAATAAGTAGTAGCAATGGAAAAAATACAATTAAAATTTACTGATAAAGAAATAGGCAACTGTAGTTTAACCAGCGAGAGAAAAAAATGAGGAGGAAAACAAAAGTTCTAAGTGTGAATTATGTGATGAAAGAGAAATAACTGTTATCCTATATGTACATATACATATGCAAAAACAAATATGCACAAAAATCTTATATTCTTTTCCACTAACAGCTAAATAGTAGTAGTAGTAGTAATATGCTGTGCATGAAAAGTTCTGTTCTTATAAAAAGAAACTGATTATAAAATTCATAAAAATTATCCATAATAGTAACGGTCATCATAATGAACATCGGTCGTTGCCATTGATCTAACAAGTGTAAAGTTCAACATAAGTGAACGCAAATGACCAAATAAAATGCGCACCAGTTGTTCAATATTCACTATTTCACCTTTGTTTAAACATTAAATAAATAAAATCTATCGGTAAATTTGTATCACATATTGTATCAATTACTTATTATAGAAAATGCAAAAGGATACAAGCTGATATCAAGCATAATGAATTCTAGAAATATTTTGAGCACCTTGATCAACAACAATTACATCTCTACAATTTGGTAAAGTAACCAAACCAGCCAATCGACGAAACGGTGGATCAACTTCAATTAGATATGGTTTAAAAAGGAATTTATTCCTGTTCAACGGACAATATACTGCACAATTTTGTGTCTGATGATTTGCATCAAGTGAAGTCAAACGATTGTTGTTACTGATGTTAGAGTTGTTGTTTACATTATTACTGGTGCTAGCCGTGTTATTATTATGACAGTCCAGAGCCATGGTTGAAGACATCATATCATCATCAACTTCACTGATAAACTGTTGACAACTAGACGTCCACAATGATTCTGGCCACACAACGACACCAGAACGTTTCCTGTCTGAATAGCTTGCCAATATAGATTTTCCTAGTTTTTCATTTGCAATATTTTCGGTATCCAAGGTCACAACACCAAGTGTTACCCCACCGAATTGACCACGCGATGAAGGAGAACGTGACATAACAGAACCACCTGACTGTCGAAGCTCAGAGAGACTTAAACGGTCCAGGTTTACACCATCACCATCTTGATTATCGTGTGAAGTATGCGATGCAGTGAAATAGGAAGCATCTAACGAAGCTCTCGACGGTAATGTTGAGATACGAGTACGAGAGAAATCTTCATTCGGCTGACTTGGGGGTAAAAGGTCAGCAAGAAAACGTCCTTCTGATGAAAATATCTAAAGAAGAATAAAAAAATAAATATTATCTACCTCACGTGAATTACCATGGTATAACACTTTATATGGAACACAATTTTCAAAAATAGTAAGAAAGATGCCTTTAAATAAAATAACGAATGGTTTCGAAAACTAGTGACTGTAAAACCACTAAAGACCTAAATTTCTACAAGATATTGGAATATATAACCTAATGCTAAACGTAGGAAAAAGATAGGTCAAAGCTACTACGTTCTAGACTTCAGTAGTTTCCAAGCTTTCAATTTAAAAGCATTTTCTGTAAAAAATTGACGCCACTCGCTAAGCCTCATTGCTGAGGCAGTAAGTAAAGATAAATGCCCCTATGCTTTCATACTGATGTAAGTATATTCATAAAGAGTTAACATGATACTGAAGAACTTACAGTTAGACTTCCCTAACAAAATTTCAGAGCACTATTCTATTCACCCAATCAAGGACAGTAAGTATATACAAAAGCCATACTGACTGTGTAGTTGCAAAATCTATGACATAATTTAAATATTTCAAACAAACAATGACTTGCGTAGTCAGCCAAGTTTGATATGTTAACAAATAATCACCAATGGTAATGGATGGTAGTTACACTATATCGTGAATTCATAGAAGTAGACACCATTAGATCCCCCTCAACCTGGTGAGCGAATTTCTGTGGCAAGATTTGATAGCTCTTGGTTTCCTCCACTACAGAAACAGACATGATGAGCAATATTCTCTCAATGAATGCGTAAACGACAACATACATGAGAAGTTATCAAAAAAGTAATAAGTTCACTTAATGACATCCAGATGCTGCAGATTGAGAACTTATGATGGTTTCAGTGCTCATTGAAATAGACACTTCACTTTCAATGGACATGCTATCGACTCTATCCATTTACGCTTAATCAACGCAGTTCGGAGAGCCAACAATTATTACCAGCTCATTGCTACATACATAAATCACGGTTGAACTCATTGGAAATTAATTAAGGCTAGTGAAAACACCACAGAAAACATGCTATAAACACACATTACGTAATAATAATAATAACTATTATTATAGCAGCAAAACTAATTTCATTTCAGACAATATTATAAATGCAGTATGGAATTTCCAATATGTAATACTGCAATAAATTGACTCATTTGTGTAACGTTTTTGGAATAAAAATAAACTAAATAATGCTAATAATACTACTATCATCATCAATAATACATTAATTGTAGCAAAAATAAGTGTTTGTCTGCTGTTATAAAGTTTACAGAACTTTCCCGTAGTAAGTACGTCATACCGAAGCTGGTGTCCTCAGACGCCCTTACTCAAGGAATGACGACTTCCATAATAACTAAACACACACTACTTCACTTCAAGATTACTTACATGATGCTTCACTTATTTGGCTGAAAGGTTGGTTTAACATAAATAATCATAATCATAAATAATCCCTCAGCTCGGAGAAGACACGATTCATAGGCGTAGAACAGAGCTGCCCACACTGGTATGTAGTATAAACAACCACTCACAAAAGGGTCAACGTTACAATAGCTCCAAAGGCGATGTAAATCGGCGTATACCGTTCTGGTTTTCAATATACGATTGGAAATCTTCATCAGTCAAACCTCAACTAGCACCTACACAACTAACTACCTAGGTAAACAAACGTTTCGACATCCTCCAACAGTTCTTCATAAACAGCAAGTGCAAGCACAGATTCCTGCCAATCTTGGAGAAGCACTTTACATTTGAACGGTGAGAAGGATATGCTACCCTTACGGAAACTGATCACCAGCTGACTGGGTAATTGTAATGTGTGCAATGGTGTTTGAGCAGTTGGCCGAGAGTGAACACGTGATTAGTGAATGCAAGATATGAACAAAATCCAACTTTCTGCTCTTGGGTCAGTTTCATTTCATGTATTCAGCAGAGCCCACAAAGTACAACGACGGCCAACACTTGAGATGCTACTGGTAGTAGACTGATATCCTGATGGTTATCGAATACGCGACGTAAACCATTTATAAAGATGATAATAAGAATAGCTTCATCCTAGAGTGGTGAAACACACTCAGATCAGAAGAAAAACTTTATCCAAGATAGAGAATATTCGATTCGGTGTTTTGCAACAATACCATCAATATTACAAGAGCCATTGGAATAAAGCAGCTCAAATAAGCTCTCTTAAGCGAAACTTAACTGTTTGACACTTACTAAAAATTACGCTAAGACCAGTCGAACGAGGTCACTGGTCATTGGTTAGATAGGATGCCGTTAATTTGAAAACAGTCTGACAGAAAAACAATCGGCATAGAAACAGTCGGGTCATCAGTAAACTTAACACAATTACTTTTAGCACAGTAAGACAACTCATATAATAAGAAAACAGCAAAGAATAAAGTATCATATCGTGGGGAATACCAACCTCAGTAAACAATGAAGTGGAGCTCCTCTCTTTATATGCAGGAAAATAAAACCACAGACAAGTTGCGACTCAAAGCTCAGTATCATTATTAAACGAAGATGATCTTTGAACAGAGTCGAAAGTAAATGTGTAGTTCAAGACATGGCATCCAAAATACCTGGCATTTTTGGATAGACTGGAACAATATTGTGGTACAAGAAGTACTTCTATTGTATTTTGAATTGCCAAAAGCTTTCAATGAAGCTTTAAATACTAGTTTCTCTAGTGTTTTCAAAAACTGAAAGGGTGTGGAGGAATAGGTCTAGATTTAACACTTGATACAGATGATGACTTAAAAAAAGGGTTACAACTTTAGTCTGTATCCAAATGGCAGGCACTGCATTTTTATAAAATGATACATTGTACAAAATGTTTGTACATTCCCAGAGTGTAATACTACTTGATACGTTATTAGGGCTTGAATTTTAAGAGGTATGAAAAATCGTTTGCATTAAAACCTACTAAGCAACCATCCACTAGCTTAAATACACCAGAAAAGATTACAGCCACTTATCGATATTAAAATGATTAGTTTAATACCAAAACGAATATCAAAACAATCAGCATAGCTTATTTCTTTCTCATTAGTAGGATCCTTAAGTAACTCCCATATATTGAAAGAGTTCTTATACGAAAGAAACTATTGTTAATAAATTACCTTCACACATTGCAACCACTCCCAATGCATCACGAACTTGAGTGTTGTGATATCATAGATTATCAATCATTTAATACTGCAGCGTTACGCAAACCACTGTACATTCTTAGTCCACCTATTACACAACATTTTACAGGAGTTTATGCTGATAAATTAGTGCAGACAATAAATTTATGCACACAAAAATAGGGGAATGAAATTCGCTGAATGTGAAAAGTATTAATTACTACTCTTTTAATAAAACTCTAGAGATAAACGGACAAGAAGAAATCAATCAAAAAACATACTCGAACACATGTCCCCGTAGATAGAATCACTTCTCCAGAATCTGTTACACATAAACCAGTTATTAATTTACACATTCTTGGTTGGGGTAAATGAGAACTAGTCTCATTTCGACTTAAAGTAATATGTCTAACCGGAGTACTTGCGTTACTCTCAGTATATATAGGCGTAGCACTTGTCCCAATGAACACATTCACAGAACCAGTTTCGGGATGACATACAAAAACACAACCTGCTCCATTATCAGCAACAAACAAACGATTAGTTAAAGGGCATCTGGTGATACTGGTCGGTTCTTTGAATAAAGGACTTGATATACATGAAAGTATCTGGAAAACAAAAAGTATTTTTAAAAAGCAGTTAAATAAATTCTTTGAGATAACGTTTAACAAGTGACATGATTGTAACTCCATGTAAATCATTGACTTAATACAGTTTATAAATGGTAAGTCAAAATATCGAATGACTTTTACAGTTAAGCAGCGAATCATGGGTGACTTGTCAAACCGAAACTATGTAATTACGCTAGCTATTCATGTCTCCGACTAAAAATGTCGAAACTATTTCAGTGTCCGCAAGTGCAAAGTACTCTTAGAAGAATGGGAGGAGTCAATGCTTGAGCTCACCCTCAGTGGTGAGCCGTTGGGGGTAGTCGAAAAGTTCGTGTATCTGGGTAGTTGTTTGAGTGGTGAAATTTCCAACTGCAAATCGAAAGCCAGAGTGGCATACGTCAATCTGGGTCACTGTTGGTGCCATGGCGACGTTAGTCTGACCGTAAAAGGTCGGGTTTAAAACGCTTCAGTGCGAGCAGTTCTGTTCTATACCTGTGAAACCTGGCCTCCCCGAGCTGAGTAGATGCAACGACTCTGCGTTTGATCATCGTTGTCTCCGTCGGATTGCTCGTATCCGGTGGCAACACCGTGTAAGTAATTCTGGGATACGAAAGCGCGTGTTTGGGCATGATGGAGATCGTCACTCAATAAGTGACATCATCTGGAAACCCTGGCTTAGGTGGCTTGGACATGTGTTACGCTTTCACGCCGTTCATTGTTTGCTACTCCTACAACTAGATGGAAGAAGTCCAAGGGTGGTGGTCAGTGCATGACTTGGTACTGTCGGATGAAAGATAATTGTATCGGGTTAGTATCTGTTGGTCCATCACGATTCCTTGGGTGGGGTCAGAGAAACCATGCAACTCACTGGGTTGAGATGTTATGAGATATGGCTGAGAATGGAAACCAGTGGCGGTCATGCTGTAGCTTCCTTCTATCTTCTGCTGCTGAAAAGTAATAAATGTTTTTTTAGAAGAATCTTATTGCACTGCCTTTCTAACCATTCCATTCTTAAGGTGTTTCTCTTTTTTAACTTCCCTTCGCTTTATGTTTTCATAATGTTGTTATATTATTTTGTGTGGCGCATTTTTTAGTGCCATTGCAGTACCACGTTTGTGTTTTGATAAAATAAAATAAAGTTTCATGAATGATTAGAATAGATAATTTTGTCTTGAACAACTGAATACATGCGTGAACATAAATTAAACTAGAAAAGATGATGTAAAGTAATCGTGAGCAATTTTAGTTAAAGCTTCAATATGTGGATTACAAAGGTTGAGATATCAAGCAACTTAACACTCAAATCAAATTTTTTTAAATTGGATAACTCTGTTGAATTGTGTTGCCTAGTGGAATTTCAGCTTAGAAATTGTAATCAGTGAAACGCGAGAAATTTATAGATGGAAACTTCAAATGATATACCTCGATATATTCTCATATTTTCTTTAATTAACCACGAAACATTAAGTGTTTACTCTGCATCCTTTTCGTTTTATCTTACAACTTTTGAAAGCTTCTGATGACACTTTTAGTCTGTTTATTAGAAATATCACACAGTGAAACAGCACCATTAAATGGATAACGTTTCGGATACAATTTATTGTCCATATTCATATCAGGTCTGATTACAATATTTTTGACTTTGTCGTTTTTCTTCCTGTTACCATCCTCCCCCCTCCCTTCCTTGATATACCGATATTGAATAAGGAAACTGTTAGACAGGTAGACTAAGTCTTGTGTATTGATGATGTCGGTTTACTTGTAAAAACTAACCTATTGTTGACAATACAATTCCTGACTGACAAATTTCAATCAGTACCAAAGATAAGAGCAATCGGCAACAACTTACCTTACAACCTGTTCATGCAAGATTGAAACAATTGGCTTTCACTAAAGTGGATGAACTTGAATATTAAAAGATCAATTTGAAGGTGGCTTCCAATATTTCATTTTTATTACCTTTTATTTACTGTAAAAAGTATTCAGGACCATCTATTAAACGATAGTCAGAAACTACTTGAGAAAGAAAAAGGATAAACTACCTGTAACACGTGAGAACGCTATTTAACTGAAACACTGATAATCTCTTTGATTGAAAGCTCAGAACACCTGATAGGTGAAAAATGATTTATTAGAGATTTGTTAATGCATATAACCGAGTTGCAATGAAACCAAGTCAATCAACTTTCCTTGCCTTGACATTTTGGATTACTTCTTTGTTAGTGTACTGCTGGAAAAATGCAGTAACTTGAGTCTTATGCAATAGTTTCTGTAGGTATTATAGTTAATTCGGTGAATAAATATAAGAAATAATCTTAAAACCCTGTTGAAAAAATATTATTCCAGCTGAAATGCCAAACACGCTGGGATTATATTAAAACTTACCTATATAATGAAGTTTACATTATTTATACTGTAATATTAAAAAAATGCTAGCTATGATAAGATGATCCCCATTAATTTCGATAGGGAAACAAATGAAGTCCACTGTCTTTATAATAACCACCTGATCACGCTCTATCGTGTTAAAAAAAGTCGGCTAGAGTAGTACAACTCAATGAGTTGCATAATGATAGGAAATATCCAGTTAGTTAAATGAAGAATTTAGCAACGGTGTTTGGAAATGTGGTTCAAAATTTGAAGTTCGGTTTGAATCCGGCCGCGGTCAAAATTTTCATTTCACCTTCAATCATCACGCAGTGTCAATACTAGTCTGCCAAACCACAGTTATCTCAGATAGTCAACAGATCCCGAGAATTGAATGTAAATTATTCAGTTTGGTTTGAAAGAGCTTACATAATTTACTTGCTCCCTGTGACTTCCTATCATTAATGAATCTATATATCTCCTATATTACAATTGGTCTATGCTGTTTATAGCGAGTAGCTAGAAAGAATAAGTATCCAATCCCGTATTTTAATATTGGTGATAACAAGAAATTCAACTCTAGCACTAAACTGTTTCGTAGTTTAACTTATGCAAGATAATATTATATAAGAAAGATCAATGATTCCTATTGATGACTCACTTGTTCTGTAGACGGGTCTAGTAAAAATAATTGTTTAGCCCGCCAATTTACAATCCATAAACCTTGAGGTGACCACACCATACCAGTTGCAGCTTGACCAGATAGTGCTTCACCAGTTACAGTGGAATGAAGTGATCCATCTTCAGGACTAAGCACAAGCAAGCGACTATTTCCAGTGTCCAGAACATATATAAAACAACCAGATGTTGGACAATCACTTTGTACGTTATCTGAAGAGGCTTCAGATGAATTTACAGGGTAGGGTCCAAAGGCAACAGCAAACGGCTGAATTAAGCCTCGACCGTCGGAACCTTTTATTCAACCAAAGTACAGTCACAGTTAAGGTAAATTTCAAAATGATTAAATAGCATTAAGCAGAATGCAAAAACTATAAATTTGAAAGTATCGGTAGACACAACTTTAAAAAGGATAAATTGCTAGTAGTAGCTTACTAGGATGGAAGCAACAACACAAGGCATGGTTTAGAGTGGGACTGTAGTTCACTAGATTAAACACTTGACCTTTAATCACTGCGTAGTGGATACAAAAAGCGGTTCCACTCGCCAAGGTTTAACTAGCTAAATAGCGTCGCAGCACTTGCACAAGATGTGGGGCTAACTTCCCGGTACATGAAGAGGTAGCTAGTTATTGGATTACATTTAATTACTTATTTGTTAATTTGCTTAAAAGATTGAATATTCCGACTCAAATGGAAAAAAACATAACAGGGGGAAGATAAGAGGAAAACACTTTTCTCGAATATGAATAAAAAACCTACGCTGAGAGGAAACATTTGTTCAACGCTAACTTATTGGATACAATAAAGAAAAAACAACTCTCAAACAAGAGTGGTGTACTTTTTTAATTTAAACAGTGAAAAGTTTAAATGAACCAGCAACGAGATTGACAAAAAGAAAACTGCCCGACTTGATAAATTTCTCAAAAATCTAGTATGTTTCTACGAGACGTTATCATCAACAGCTCTTTTTTAAGAATACTTACATTTGAGAGAATATAGCTAAAAAGGATTAGACAATAATCTAATATTCCGTATGCTTAGTCTATATCACATCACATTAGGTAGTAAACAACAAATTTTTACTCAAATCTAATTGATAAGCAGCACTACTCATCACCCAACTTTTCTCACAATATGACTTCTAAACTAGATATTAGATATCAAAAAATACTCTCTGTTGACAAAATACTATGCTGAAAGAAGTATTTAAAACGTACTAAAGTAGAGAAAATATAGTTTTAACCAATCTTCAAATCCACTGTAGATAATATGTCCAATATTTATAACATCAAAGTATACACTCATGCATACATAACAAGATAAAAAAGACTACACAAAAACATAGCTATCATTTTCAATGTCCAACTGATGGATCACACAGGGTATTGATCGTGGGCTTACATTATAAATGTGTATTTAAGGTATTTCTTAACAAATTAGTTGTTCTTAACGTTGATAAGACACTTATTTTGCATATTTAAAGGTGTTATTCACTCCATATGAACATGAGTCAAGGAAAGATCAACCCTAAAAGACTTAAGGAAAACACTATTTATGTTTAACTACACACCTATCATAGATTTGCAAGTACTGATCTCAAGATCATAGAGTTCAGCAGCTAAAATATTACGCTGCAAACAACAAAGGGCAATACCATCGGTTAACTGACCTGGTAATCAAAAATTAGGGTTCCATATATACCCCCACGATTCCTTTTCGATAAGCTCAACTTTCCCATTAGAGATTTGAAGTCACCTACCATTATAACGAAATCTGAACTCTTCGCTTTCTGTAACAAAATCGACAGCTCTTCATAGAATTCATCTATTGCGTCATCCAAACTGCAGTCGGAGAGTATGAAGAGGTATTGGTAAATTTCGCAATCCTTCCTAGTTCTTACAGATCCAATCAAACAGACAGTGCACAGATGGTTGTTAACTGGTATCAAATCGGGAGTGAAGCCTGAATAGAGGATGAGTTATACCATCAAATAGGTGGTCTTCTCTACCACGTGGACTCAACTTGTATGGTAGTGTTAGCTGAAGACTTGGATGTATATGCCGGGTGTTCGATTTCAAAAGAGGGTAGTTTAGATGGCCACATCTTGTCTACAATCAACGCCAATTCCCGACACAGATATCATCATTGTGCTATCTGCTTTCCACCATCCACCACTGGAGCCTGCATTCAAAAAGATCAAATTACAGTCAGCTACTGTCACTGATGTATTCACGATTGCCGATCATTCTGGACCACCTGTCTAGATTCTGATCACGCTCCAGTGTGTTTCAATTTTGTCTTGTCTTGACGGTTATCAAAATCGTTGAACAATAGGCGGTAAGAAGCGTGGTGTCTGTGAAGTAGATAGCACCCTAATCGCCAACTTTCATAGACGCCTGGAACGATGAACAGGGCACTTCGAAAAGCGTTTCCCTTGGCCTAATGCGTCCGAGTAATATCAACCTCCAATCCCTTGTGGTTCATGGGAGGTTAACATTAACCTAACTAACGAAGCAGAAGTTCGCAAGGAACTCCAAGTTCGAAAGTACTGTTTAGGGATGGAGGTGAGACTGTAGTCATGGAAGCTAGCTACATAGTTTGGGAAGGTGGACTGACAGAGTTACATCATTCTAGAATGAAGCTGTTGCTGTGTAAACCCCTGAAAATGGTCCAAGTAATGGATGTGATCATTTTCAAGGTATCTGTCTGCTAAAGGTAGTGTCCCGAATAGTGGCTGGTATCATGTTTTCCAGGCTATGCAAAGCGTGTAATGAAACGACCCACAAGGAGCGGTCTGTGTTTCGTTCATGTCATGGGTGTTTTGGTCAGGTTTTCACCCTTCGCTAGATGTTGGAACACTGCCATATGTATGTATTAAAGATTAATGATCGCTGCATTCCTCGATGTTAAGGTTGTCTTCGCTATGTTGGTTAGGGTTTTGCCTTGGGATTATCTATTAGAGATGCGTTTGCGCAGACCACGAAAACCACAAGATTCAGAACTCCAAGTAGAGAGTGAATGCCTACAGCCAACTATCTCTATTGAATGATGAATTATACGACTTTTTGACTGATTATATATATATATATATATATATATATATATATATATATATATATATATATATATATAATGTAGATTTGATCACTTCCCTGAAGAAGCCCGAACCAGACTTCCTTGAGAAACGTTGGGATTTCTTATTTCACACACTCTGAGACTTATAGAAATGTGACTTATATCTAGTGTCGACCTTTCATTTGGTGTCCAATATTTGTGAAAATAGCCGGTTAAATTTTAACCAGGGTTCATATAAACTATCTCGTTTGTTCTGGATCAATAGTGGGGTCAATCAGTGCTGCTTCATTTCGCCATTGCGCTCTAACTTTGCCATCAACGGTAATTTTGAGAAAGCCCTGAAGTACGTGGTGATGATAGAGCAGATCTGTTACCAGGTGAAAGACTTTTCTACCTCAAATAAGCGAACGATATCTTTCCAATGTGAGACAATATACAAGGCAATAAATTGGTGATTAGTGTCCGAAATATAGTATACGCTTCTCCAAGTGTAAATTACGTTTACAAGATCGGCAAGAATCTGCGCGTGCACTCACTCTTTGTGGTGAACTGTTGGAAGATGTAAAAACGTTCGTGTACATAAATAGTAGTGTGGGTACTAGTGAAGGTGTAAGTGGTGAGGATTCTAAGTGTACGTTGTGTTATTAAGCTTCTTGTAAAAGATCAGGTGTAAAACGCGTCAGTCCAAGTGGATTTGATCTGTACTTGTGAAACCTACCATCTCCTCTTTGATGATCTCCGACAACTCGCCATCTCAACCACCACTGTCTCCGTAAGACTGCTCACATGCAATGGAAACAGCATGTAATTAATTTAGAGGTTATGTGGCATGTTTGGGTGTGATAAATGTTGGCATCCCTTGAGTGAGATCATCTTAAAAGACCACTTTTGCTGGCTTAGACCCAAACGACACATATCGTCCCAGCGGCTCTTATACGGTTCGTTATCCGTTTGGCAAGCGGCTGTTTGAAACATGCGGTAAGGTAGCCAGGGTATGATATGGAGCAATGGAATGAAGGAGAGTTGTGTCAGATCAGCATACGTAGGTGCTTCCAGACTTCGTGGATGAATTCTAAGAGATTATGCAACTCAGTGGCTTGAGGAGATAGCAAACGTGGCTGAGAATTGAACCCAGTGGAGATAATATTGGAGTTTTCGTGTTTCATTTTTTACGATGAAAAGTGGAACGGAAGCAGTGAATGTTTTTCGGAGGTATCTTTGAGAATGCTTCTTTAATAACAAAATTCTATTTTTGTTTCCATTCTCCGCGTTTTCTTAACGTTGCTTTATTATCCTGCAACTTTCGATGCCCCAGTTGTAACAAGCTTTTGTTCGAATGATAATTAATAATGTCATCACATCAGAGAAAGCCATCAGACGAACAATATTGGTAAAAAAGACAGAGATGTAACACGATTGTTTAATACCTAAGTGAAGATAAGTTTTAGAAGTATTTTTATCATTTGATCAATTCTCAGACATATCCTTCGAAGCATATAACTATCGATATCACACTTGTCGTAAAAATCCCAACTAGGAAATCCACACTTTCTTAAATGAGTCAGATCTATAGTCAGAGAGTTCAAGGTTTGTTATTAACTGTCTCAGTTTGACCATATTGAGCTTTTCGCAAACCAATCATATATTCTAGAGTATCGTGGTACACAGTGGCTCAACAGATGTAATGCATAACTCAGTCGTCCCAGTCGATAAATCTTCACAACTTTATCGACTTACTTAACTCCTTTAATTTAGCAAAGTATAGATTATAAGCACAGTTTAAACGGATATAGTTGTAGTTCTTCATCAAATTTCTGCTCTAAAATATACTTTTAATTATCAGACATGCATATAAGTTAGAAAGAAACAAACACAAAATGAATAGATTCATTAGTAGAAAAGTATCCTATGTACAACTTTAACCATTCATTATTTTTATAAAAGTCAGAACTTAAAGGTCAATTGAGGTAACAAAGAGGTTTAAGAACAGTTCAACTTTTATAAAGTAACAAGCATAGGATAAAGAAAAAAACCACAATTTCTACAAACTCTACAACTGAGATAGTAAACGTAGAAAGGCAAATTATGTTTCAGGCGTCAGATAATTAATAATTTAATTAAGCAAAGGATGAAATTCAATTTTTCCATAAAGTAACTAAGTGGAACCCCTTTACTACTGTCTAGAACTGAAGACTTAAGGTAGGACTGAATCAATTCAGTGAATAATCAAATCAGTTTGATTAAAAAGAAACAGCTAGCAGTACATGAAATGAACTACAAAAACAACATCTTAGTCATTATTTGAGTAGTTTCATCACAATCTGATAAAGTAGGAATGAAGTGGATTTCTTCAAGGCTACACTAAAATATTGTTCATTATAAATAAATGAAACAAATGAAGTTAGCATCCTTTTAAATGAAACGGAACAGAATACCAGTCAAAATGATACATCAGTGACGTAAAATATGTCCAAGATATCACAATTCATTCCAGTACAGTAACCGGGGAATGGAAACAATAATATGAACAGTAATGTGAAAAACGATAGCACAAAGGTGAGTAAAGCAGCTTAAAGTAGGAAGTGAAAGACATAAAATTATGTGATGTGCAAAATCTAGAGGAAGATAGTGTGTATCCATACAGACATATATGTATTGAGAGAGAAAGTGAGATAGGATGTTGATAGAGAGAAATCAGGAGTCTAATCCTATTTTTTTAAAGTCTTCTTTGATCGATTCTTCACTTAACGTGGAAATATGAGGGGACTTAAAAGAAGTACTTATAAATATAAAACGTTTCATGAATTGATATTATTAAAACAAACAAATGCAGGTTGTCGAGCATGTACACATTCATCTGTTAGAATGTCGCCGCTACACTTGTACCATCATAGATAGTACATATTCACATATACACCCAGGTGAAAAAATGAGTGGATTTGAGATCTAAGATACAAGATTATTTGAAAATATAGTACAGAAAAAGTAATAAATATATGTAAAATATACCTACCTTCTTTTAAAATCCACATACGCTTCTGAGCTGTTTTCACATGGACGCTGAAGGGAGAGCCACGAATAGGTCTGTTCAGAATCTGCACAGTTAATTTGTGAGTTCCTGAAGATGGCGAGGTCATACTAAGCTCATAACAGCCATTTCCTATATCTAATAAATCGGTTGGGACTAAATGACCTCGTGGATCCGTAAAAGTGACCTCGATAGGATCTGTTCCACTGTTCGATTGAGGGCGACCATGATAATCAACTGCTTGAATGGTGCACTGTAAAAATTTAGATATATGGTAGAATTAAAGCTGTCTTAAGCAACATGAAAGCGAATCTAATCGTAATAATAATTCAGAGAAGAATTATTGATATATTAATGACAACAGCCTAAATATAACGTATATAAATTAGGTAATTCTCATGTTTACGTAACGAATATCATCATTACAGGATTCTACAAATCATATATTTTGCATATGCAGATTAGTGATAGTATTTTTTTGATAACACTTTCAGATAATGATTTTATGAACATAAACTATAGAATATCTTCTGTGCAGTCTGCATTACACAAGTAAAAAGATGTGCCTTAGTGTAGTCATATGAAGTGAAACTGCTATATACATAGATGTGTGCAGTTGACAATTACTGCATTAAGGATACGGTAGCGAAGACGCAGCAACACAAATAAAGATCACGTCGGAGTTTATAAATAGGCAGCAATCTTGTTATGTCCATTAACCATCAGTTTGGCGAAACCAATACTCCTTGCAATGTGACCGTTATGGTTGATAGTCAGAAACTCCGCTCCACCTATGAAGGTTTGGGTAGCCAGGTTGTATCATTAGTCCACATCCAATAGGTGTGGAACTCATTGCCTATTGGATTAATCGCCACAAGTTTGCTGAGTGCTTTTGGTTCTGATAGTCAATGGCGTGTTTAAAGATGGTATTTAATGCGATGGTCGTCAGATGGGGTTCTCAGTGGGAACAATATTACTCAACCGGGTGTACAAACATCCAGGTTGCAGGTTATACTGAATGATTGTTTAGATTTCAGTGCCAACTGAAGCGTATAACTTGTCTACTATTAACTCAGACTAATCTCTAATCGAGAAACATGCCTCAACTTAGCTAATGGTATAAGAATAAAATGTAAGTATTCGACATAAATTAATACAATAAGACTAATATTTGAGAAAATTCCTTAGAATTTGCTGCCTACCAGTGCACACGATCGTTGAGTAGACTCCGTCAATTTACACTTGAACTGCTTCAGTGGCTAACTATGTTCGAAGCTTGAAGGGATGTTATCATGCACTAGAATTAATTCCGATGAAGTTGTTGGGTTCCAGTGACTTTATAATCGTCTACTGAAATTCAGTTACAGTCTTTACCACTCTTTTCACAAATTGCAGATCACGCCAAGTTTTTTATGATGAATAACCGTATCATATCCTGAAATCTGTTTGACCAGTCTCACTTGTTAGTCAAAGTCCTAGTACCCCTGATCTTCGAGTTGAGCCCAGAATAGCCACCTAACATTAGTCTTCGCATATCGCTTTGGGCGCAGGCATACACATAAACGAATGGCCGCTTGCCTCAGTAGGAGCGACAGCCCTCCACTAGGCCTCTCCAGGTATGATTGGTGATGATATGATCTACGTGTATACACGGTAGTTACATTCAGTGCAAAGGACACCACACAATGTCCTTCCTCGTTCATGAAACTCAAGCTGATGTGAAGTGATTGTTTGAGCACTGTCGTGGCAGACAATCATCGTTATAGATTCATTCCACTACGATCTCTTTAAAGTATCACTTAAGTGCCTTTGTGATTGGTTTGGTCCTCCTGCTTATGCACTGAAGTCACCCACCACGACAACCGCATTTGGACGTTTTATCTTCAGCTAAAAGCCGGAGTTCTCGGTAAAACTCAGCGGGTGTGCAAGCACAGATTACAAAAAAAACAACGATGGATGTCACTATCCTAAGTATTTGATGTGCCTTTCAGTTGGACAGCACAAAAGTGCCTACTAGTTGAAAATTTGAATAATGACAGTAACAACAAAATAAACATATTCGAAAGAACACCTATTCATTACAAATGACCTACTATAAAAAAATTTTTAACAATGAAAATGTTTTCATTCTCAACTTTTAAGTGATACAACACTACAACAATACAAAATACAATTTCTTTCAGGTCAAAATGAACAAAGCAATATAATTATTACAGTCTAGAAACGAGATAGAAAACTATATTTCATGTCTACAATGTTAACTATTTCATAATCGATAAACCAAAGGAGATTATAATCCAATGAAAAGTGTAAATGAACTTATTCATGCTTAATCAACGCAGTATAACAAAAACACTGGAAGTATTCATAGTTCTAATGGCATTATAGCTTACTATCTATAGAATTCGTTAAATCAATGCGATTGAAAGAATGTAGAATGTATCTTTGAAAATATAAGAACATATTTTGTATTTCAGTCATAATTCAGCTATTCATTAAAACTGAAGTAAACAAAATTCAATGGAACGACAGTATGTGTGTAAAGAAAAACAGTATCAAAAATTCAATCACGTCTAAGTTAACACTTTGTAGTTCATTTGTTCGAAACTAAAGTAATTATATGAAAGTTAATTTTACATTTTCTGGAAAGAAAACTCATCATTATATTTATGATTTCAAAGCATCTCTTCCATCAAATAACCCTTTCAGAGCATTTGATCAAAATTATACAATAACCAGTCAATCCTTGAAAATACAAAGTAAAAATTAAACTATCCACAAATAAAAAATATGAAAATGTAAACAAAATCAGCATGCATATTATCTCCTAAGAAGATCACGTGAACAATAAACAACTAGCCATTCGAAAATTATTATTATTATTAGTCCCTTGGGTTCCTAGTGGAACATAGGGCTTCAGTAGCACGCCTCCAGTGACCTCTGTTCTCTGCAGTCTTTTGAACCTGGCTCCACGACAGCCCAGAAGCTCTCATTTCCTCCTTGCACGACCTCCTCCATGTCACCCTCGGACGTCCAACTCGTCGCTTCCCATGGGGATTCCACTCGAGGGCATGACGCGTGATGTCCTCAGTCGGCCTTCTCAGTGCATGCCCAATCCATCTCCACTTCTTCCTGCATATTTGTTGCGTGATAGGTTCTTGGTTGGTTCGTTCCCAGAGCACCTTGTTGCTTATTATTTCTGGCAATCCATCTGATCTTCAGTAGCGAGCCAGCGTAAGCGGTTGTTGATGAATGTCTGTAGTTTATTGGAAATCCCTTTCGTGACGTGCCAAGTCTCTGAGCCATATAGAAGCACTGACTTGACGTTGGTGTTGAAAATCCGTATCTTGTTCCGCATGCTGAGTGGAGTGCAGAAGATCTCCACACTGGTTTCAGGATAATGAAGGCCTGTCTTGCTTTTCCGATTCTGACTTTGACATCCTCGTCTGTGCCTGTGCCGCCTGTAGTTGAAACAGTGCTGCCTAGATAAGTGAAGGAGGTTACTTCCTTTAAGTTTCTCCCGTTCATGGTGATTGGAGTTTGTTGTTTTTGTTGGAGTTGTTGGTGCGGTATCTTCATCACCTCTGTCTTCTCTATATTCACCTGAAGTCCCGTCTTAGCTGCCTCTTCTATCAACTTGTTAGTTTTTGCCTGTAGATCTTCAAGTTTATGTGACATCAGGCACAAGTCATCGGCGAAATCCAAGTCTTCTAGGTTCTTTTCCACAGTCCAGCCAGCGTATCCCCCTCTACTCTCTCCCCACTGTTCGCTGCATGATCCAGTCCACCACAATAAGGAATATCATGGGGGATAGTAGGCAACCTTGTTTCACTCCTGTCTTCACTTCAAAAGCATCACTGAGCTTCCCATTGTGAATTACTTGGCATGTGGCATCTTCACATAGTTGTTGAATGAGGCGGATAAAGGTTTGCGGTACTCCGCAGTAGTGAAGCAGTTTCAAAATTACTTCTCGGTCGACGCTGTCAAAGGCCTTCTCAAAGTCGATGAAGTTGAGGTAGAGAGCTGATTGCCATTCTATGCTCTGTTCTATGATGATGCGAAGCGTTGCAATTTGGTCTGCACATGATTTGTACTTGCTGAATCCAGCCTGCCTGTTCCGGTCGTAGTTTTGAATCCAGTGCATCTTTAAGCCTCTCCAGGATGATGCGGCTTAATATTTTACTTGGGGTGGACAGGAGAGTGATTCCGCGCCAGTTCTTGCAAGCACTGAGGTCTCCCTTCTTCGGCAGTTTGACAAGGTAACCCTTCTTCCAATCAATGGCCAGGTACCTTCTCTTCCTTCCACACCTTCTGCAATAGTGGTGTGAGCATGTCTGCTGTTGTCTCTGCGTCTGTTCTCAGTGCTTCTGGCGGTATTCCGTCTGGTCCTGCTGCTTTCCCACATTTCAGTAGCTTTATGGCGTTCAGGACTTCCATTTTCGTTGGGGGGTTTATGTTCACTTGTAATTCAGCGGCTGCAGGTGGAATTTCTGGACGAAGTGCAGATGGTGGTGGTGGTGGTGTTCGATTCAAGAGCTTCCTGAAGTGGTCGGCCCATTGCTTCCTTTGTTTCTCTTCTTTCGTAAGTAAATTTCCTTTTTCATCTTTTATTGGTTTCATCTGTGTTGATCTCTTCCCTGATAGCAACCTGGTTATTTGATACAATGTCGTCAAGTCTCTCTTACCTGCAGCCTGTTCTGCTTCACTTACCAGTGTGTCGTAGAAGTGTCTTTTGTCTTTGCGTGCACTCTTCTTCACTTCTTTGTCCAGTGTAGTTTTTTATACATTGTGCTCAGTTCCTCTTGTCGTTGAGCGTCCTTGCACTGGTTTATCTTCTGTTTCACCATCCTCCTCTCCTCTATCAGCTTCCAGGTATCCGTCGAGATCCATTCCTTATCTTCTTTCTTCTTCCTTCCTAATACGGTTGTGCAGGTTTCTTTCCACATAGTTTTCAAAGACTTCCAGTGTTCTTCCACACAGGTTTCTTCAGGGAAGCCATTCGAAAATGCAATGATTTTATTCGGATATATAAGTTAAAAGATGGAGACACAGCTGAGCTAATTGGTATATTCTAATCACTTCTTAATACAAGTTACACCGTCTTCGATATTATTGTCATCAAACGAAACACACTCAGCAACCTAGTGGACACTCGTGCGGTAGGCAACCAATAACATCTATTGTGTGATGACTAGTCATCCTACCTGGCTGCCCAAACCTCATTAGGTAGAGTAGCGTTCGAAAGCGGGACCCATTGGTTGAAATTCATCTCCCTAAACCACTGCGCAACAGCTCCACTATATTAATGCACAAATACTGGTGATGTGCAGCTGTGACTCTTTGTGGTCTAGGCACTTGACTTCCACCCAAATGGGTCACCGGTTCGGATCTTGTTTCACCTGCTGTCCTTTAGGTAGCCAAGAAGTATCATAAGCCTTCACACAATAAAATGTGGCTTATTGTTTAATGCACGTAAGTGTATGTGGTTGTTGAGATTTTGATCTCTTTTCAACGTTAGCGACTACATGCTGTTAATCATGAAAACTAACTCAGAAAATCCTGTGAAAAGAAAAGAAAAAATTGCCAATAACACCACTTGATATCTAGAAGTATTCAGTGAGAAACCTTAAACCTGGGTTTCGAGTTCACTGGCATCCAAAAACCCATAAACACCTTGTCCGTCTACAACTAGAGCAGACAGTTAGATTTTATCATTTAACTGCTTAGAACACTACTAGTTGTTGAGTTAAAATCTATGAGAAAGGATGAATTTTCTCGAAATATTTCCTCTTGATAAGCCCCACTAATAGGACGATGTAGACTCTCCATCTTCAGTTGAGTGTCAACGAACACAAAACATAAAAGAACTATACTACAATGTTATATAATATAGTGCATTAGCCATTTAGAATCCCCAGATCAGTACAATTTTACCAACACTAAGGACTAGGATTTAACCTGCATTACATACCATCAACATATAGAAGGACAGTTTACGATATGATAGAATTCTCCAGTGAATGTATTTATTGGAAAAGTACTCACTTTAGCATTTAAATGGACAAACATTTCACTTGGCAGCCGAGCAGTACATAATGCTGGATATGTTGTACTGACTACCAAACGGCCAAAACCAGCTAAACATCGAGCAATATCTGGAAGACTGATTTGTTGCGGAGAAGACTGAAGTGTTGATGAAGAACATACATTTGATCTACGGTGATAAGGCGGAGTGGATCGTATATTTGATTCAGTAGGATTTGTAACTGAGGAGATTGATGGAGAAGATGAACATGTGGAACGTTTCAAAGCTGCACAACACATATTTCTATGATTATGATGATTAGATTGGCCAACACAATCTTGATAACGAAGGAAAGCATTTTCTCGTGGTTCAGTCAAACCACTTATAGAATCCAATTTATTGTTTAAATAACTTATGGTTTTTGTAATACTGCGTACATCTAGCTAAGAACCGAATATAATAATAATAATAATAATAATGCATGTCAAACTGTGATTCAAATCTATTATTATGAAAACTATTAACTGACTAATGAAAGAGAGATAACCTACACAGTTTTAACACCCGAAATGTGTAACTACTTTATAGACTAACAACAGAATGACAGAAAATATACAAGAGTAATTGTAAATAAATAATGTGAAATGCCAGACAGGCATACTATGATAGAACAGAAAAATATTGTGTAAATCACTACTTAACATTTAGAAGGAATCAGTAGAGATATATCTTGACTACTAAAACTGGAATTGTCCGACATCATCAATCTCTCATTACAAGGACCCAAAACAATGAAGAAAATACAACTATAATCAAATGTTAACGGCCTTAATAAGAGTGAACAACACTTAGATATCACAGGAAACTAGACACCTAAAGTGTTGTCAGTTTACTGAATTGTCTAACAAAAGAAGGTTGAGTATCGAGCCGTATGTTAATACGTCAGCCAGATAACTGATGTTCGGCCGCCATCATATTTTTTCGATTCAATGCTGGCAAAACTTTCCTTATTGCCAAAGAGATTATTTTAACCTTACAGTGGGAAATTAAATGAGAACAAACTTGTTTTCACCTTATACTTATCACTATTGAATTCTTCATCCTTATGAAAAATGTGAAGGGATTTCACACTATCTAAATACAACTAAGTGGAGAACATTTTGCGTTTCGAACACTTATTCTGAAGATCGATGTACCAGTAAAACAATAATGTCTGAACTTGAAGGCTTTTAATTTCATAAAATCTACAATTGGCGGTTAATAACTCTTATCGTACAAAAAAAGCAGGAAAGGAACGGAAACTGATGATGATGATGATGATGGTAAGAAAATTAACCACAATAACGAGTAACATAGTCAAATCAAATTGGTTTCTCATAACCCCATCTAATAAATAAAACAAATCAAATAATAATTATGTACATGTTTACATACTAGACTGTAGGTCATATCTTTTTTGTATACAGTTTACTGGCAATGTAGGGATCACAAACTGGAGGTACATAATTAACGAAATACGCTAACTATAGCAAGAAATTTGTGAATGAAACTGGAGTTTATGCAGTGATATGAAAATTATTACCCCAATGTTTCCGATTTCAATCTCTAGACTGTTTGATATAGCTGTAGCGATTTAGCTGACTCAGTAAACGTATTAGGTGGGCAAACAAACATAGAATTAACAGAAAGCATAAAATCGAGTCATAATTACACTGTTAGACTTATCGTTTCAATTACAGGCGGCACAGACGACGACGTCAAAACCAGGATCGGAAAGACAGCAAGACAGGCCTTCATTAACCTGAAATCAGTGTGATCTTCTGCACTCAGCATACAGAACAACATCCGGATTTTCAACACCAATGTCAAGTCAGTGCCTCTATATGGTTCAAGAACTCGGCGCGTTACGAAAAGCATTTCCAACAAACTACAGACATTCATCAACAACTGCCTACGCTGGCTCGTTACTGAAGATGAGATCAAATGGCCAGAATAATGAGAATAAGCAACAAGGAACCCTGGGAATGAACCAACTAAGAACCTATTGCTCAACCAATATGCAGAAGGAAGTGGAGATGGACTGGGCATGCACTAAGAAGACCATTCGGGGACATCACGCGCCAGGCCCTCGAGTGGAAGCCAGATGGGATACGGCGAGTTGGGCGTCCGAAGCGAAGGTGACATGGAAGAGATCATGTGAGGAAGAAATAAAAGCTTGTGGGCAGTCGTGGAGCTAGGTTCAAAAGACTGCAGGGAACAGAGAGGAATAGAGACGTGCTTCTGAAGCCCTATGTTCCACTAGGAACCCAAGGGACAAATAATTATAATAATAAATAAACTATCAAAAGGGAAAAAAAGATAGATCCATGAGATCAAGACTTGCAATATCTTTATATCTTCTACTTTCAGAGGCTATTTCTCACAACCACGTAAATAAGCATAAAGGAATACAACGCAGTATATTAATTCTGATGTCTCATCGGTGTTATTTGGCAAATACTGAACAGGCTTTTATATCAAAAGTCAGACTTTATCAGTAACCTGAGGCAACTTCCTAAAAAGGTGAAGTGGGTAAGACATTCGACTACTTTCCTCCTTATCCTTAATCTAGGAGTCAAACCAGGCTAATCATGAAGCATCAAATTTAATTTGTCAACTGTGAAACACATGCCAAACACTTCAACTTTCGCTAAAGTAATTCGGAAAACTTCACATTTTTTCGTCAGTGAACTCACCTAACATGATTACGTCGTTCGAGTACTCTGAGTTTACCAGGTGTTATGAGAAGTCAGAAGTACATAGGGTTAAATGTGCCAGTTTTCGGCTTTAACACTTTTCGGATGAACCTAAATTCTAGAGAGGTTTCAGGGATAAGGTTTATCTATAAGACGGTAAAGTGGGTCTACCTTACACGTATATGTATATAATGCAACCTTAACTAACAAGCCTATAATACTTAAGATACAATTCAGTTCACTCGAAGAAAACTTTAACACTCAATGGTTACGCTAAACATAAATAAGCATCATATCATTGCACAGATGAACGGAAATCAATCAAATTAATAACATCTGACATCCCATGTATAGAGCGAGTTATAAGTAAACAAGCGTTTGATAGTCGAATGTAATTGCCAGAGCACGAATCGTGTCAAAGATGAGGTCCTTCAGTTCTAAGTCCAGCTACACCAAGGTTGATATCATGTGTTATTTCCAAAAGTTGATTTTTGCAAGTAATTCCTAGTAAATATTTCTATTAATATTAGAGAAGCATTGTAATATATCCTACTGAATGTTATGAGTAATTACAGACCGATAACACCAATCAACAGCCAGATCGAGGTGAGCTAAGCACCGGATGATCATTTCTCAGAAGTCCTGTAAAGTTCGATGGTAGGAAATGGATTATACAACTAAATAAAGGCCTTATGTTAGGGTGTTGGCAAGAGCTTGGCATCAAATTATAAACGACTAAGACCTATTAAAAAGTTAACACTTGATCTACGAGTTCATATCCTGCACTAAATACCATGACGTAGTCAAACCTTCCTGTGTTACTAATACAATCGGGTTGCATGAACTGCGAGTATCGTTTTTGGGCTCTCCAACGCACTAAGAAAGTCAAGTGATCAACAGTGAGACCAAGGACAACTACTCCTACAATGCTTTAAATTAAAAGCGTACATCAAGTTATAGTGAACATTGGTGAAATATTATAGAGAAGGCTGAATAAGAACAGTATTCATAAGTCTATTACTTCCAGTATATGGGCTTTTAGCCACTACACATAAATGTACCAAAGATTCTGATACACAGCAAGTCTTATGGGGTAGGTTGGTGATAGCCATTACATTTAAAGACAAAGAATCACTAAACAAACCTCGTGTAATTGTATCACCCATCTATCAACAACCTATCCTTCGCGTCCAAAACAACTAAGTATGTAGACTTACTAATGTATGCAGCCTTGCCAGATGCTGCAGAACGTAATCAAGGTCCAGGATTTAAATGATAACCGAGTATATCATTCAAACAAACATGCGCTTTTCATCAGGTATACCACTTTAATTTAAATCACAACGAAGTCTATCACTCAAACTGGGACTTCATGGTGATAATCAGTCGACCAACCCTTCTGTATCTTGCAACCGGGAACACAGCTCTACACTCGTGAAAATCACAGGCACGTTTGTTTCCCACAAGGAACATCTCAACTATTTCTGTACCCTAACTTAATCTGAAGTATGATTTTATTCTCAGTGCCGCACCCATAAAACGAATACCCATAATTTATAGAACAGTTAACCTCAATTTCGCTGTTATTCAGAGGATCTTATAAGTGGGTTTAAAGATCAGTGAACAGCAGCCCTAAGCTGTATAATTTGATATAGTTGAGATGATTTGCAGACCTGTGTCATATTCGGGTAACAATTGTTGAGTCGTTGAACAACAAACGAACTTGTAACATAACCAATATAGAATTCCAGGAAAATGAAAGCAAGCGAAAGTAGGTCAATAAATTTGAAGGGTTAACAAAACTATATAACACTAAGAATTACATCTAGAAAACAGTTAAATGCTACTTTATAAGAAAAATAAAAAGTTGAAAACTTTTGGGACAGAACTACATGTTCCTCTAATGAACGTATGAACCAAAAACACTGGTCGATAAACATAAGAACGCATTTTAAAAGCACGTGTGAAATGAATGACGAGGCATAAAAAGATAGTCTATCGGGTTACAGGCTCAGTGCTCTATAAGTTATGACACCTAACTCCAATCACTAATGGCTTTGCCTGACTATCATGCGAGTGAGTGATAGTGTAACCATTTGTTCATTATCATCACACTAGCTCCTCGAACAGTTCTCGTCCCAACCCATATCGAGCTGAATCGGGGACCAAGCGGCGTGCTGACCATCAGCGAAGCTGTATGAGTTAGTCATGGTTTGCTAGACTGGTATTTATGATGTAGAATGATGGTTTGGACGAAACGAAAATCCCGCTGGGCAGCTCATGTAGTAATGACGAGCAAACAGTTATTCATCACACATTCATATGACAGCAGGGCAAAACCTTAACTGATTGAAGTGGAATTAAGGTCTTGTCAGTAATTGGGCCTAGTAGCTCAGACAGCTGAGGACCGGGTCGAATCCTCTTGCGACCCAGGTTTTCATGTCGCCACCAGTGATCACAGAGCATTAAAAATGCCAGTTTGTCAAACTAAAACTATTTAGGGTAATCCTCACCAATAATTTTACTCTCGTTTTCTGTTTTCCTTCACTGTGTAGTTGTTCAATAAAATTAGTAGTTAACTGGTGAACAATCAGACCACCGGATGAGACCCACTCCGCTTATCACGGTCTAAACAACTGGCATATTACCGTCGTTTCCCAAAATACAGACATGGCTCACTGTGTGATGCATAAATGAGTAATTGATTGATGGTGGAGATGTGGTTTATAGACCTAAGTACTTGATTTCACAATAAACGGTCACAAGTCTAAATCTCACCTTACTTCCGCATGAGCGACTGGACAGTGTCATAAGCGGTTACAAAAAGTGTGGCTCAGAGTCCAGTATACACAGCTGCAATGTTAAGTGAATTCTTCGTTAGATTTACGCTAGTAGACTTAACAACAACTCAAAGATACACTGTAATATTTCCAAGTCAGCAGCCATTAACAATAGCCAAGCGATTAAATACATGTGAAAACTGATAGAAAAAGCTGAGGTGAAAAATAGTGTATCTATCTATAATCAAGGCTCAACCAAGGCACATTTTAACCCTAACATAATGAAATAATAATGAAATCAATAATATCGGTAGTATTAGAAAATAAGTCAATCCACAAGAAATCAACAAACACTAGGAACTTACAACACCCTTTAAACGATCGCATTCATTGCGGATTAAATCTCTTTCTGTTTCAATCAATGAAAGTTGATCTGTCAAGGCACGTCGTTTTTCCTCACCAAGTCGTTTCACACTGTCCAACAATTCACCCTGACGATGTTCAACAAGCGCCAATATTTCAGAAAAACGAGAGTTAATCGACTAAAATGGAATTAATGAAGAGTAAAATAGAAAATTGAATAGTAAAAGACTAGTCTGGAAGTTCACAAGAAAGATACATGTACTTCATAATCGAAACAGTTGACACCACAGCCTAATAAATGATTACAGAATGTATAAATGATGCTTCATATTATTATTAATTAGTATTTGTCCTTTGGGTTCCTAGTGGGACATAGGACTTCAGTTGCACGTCGCCATTCCACCCTCTTCTCTGCAGTCTTTACAAGCTGGCTCCACGACTCTCCCAGAAGCTTTCATTTCTTCCTCACATGATCTCCTCCACGTCACCCAACCTCCAACGCCCAACTCGTCGTTTCCCATCTGAATTTCGCTCTACAGCATGGACTCTGATCTTCAGCACTGAGCATAGGCAACTGTCGATGAATGTCTGTAGTTTGTTGGAAATGCATTCCGTAACACAACACCAATTCTCTCAACCATCACATGCAAGCACTAACTTAATTGACTCACTTAGTGTTGGAAATCCAGATCTTGTTCACGCTTCATGCTGAGTGCAGTGCAATGCAGTGCAGTGCAGTGCAGTAGATCTCCACACTGATTTTAGATTAATGCAGGAAGGCCTGTCTTGCTGTCTTTCCGATCCTGGTTGGGCTGCTTGCACATCCTCATCTGTGACGCCGTCCCTGCCTGTACTTGAAACAATGCTACCTTGTCTGGCTGCGTAGGTCAAACACACAACTTCCTTCAGGTTTCTCCTCTTCATGGTGACTACTGCTTGTTGTTGATGCTCTTGTTGTTGGTTGGGTAACATCACCACCTCTCTCTTCTCTACATTCACCTCAAGTTCCGTCTCCCTTCGCTGCCATACCTCCCCTGTCAACTTGTTGGTTTCCGCCTGTACATCTTTCAGTTTATGTGACATTAGACATTAAAAATAAATCATCATCGACCAAATCCAAATCCTCCTCTGCGGTACTTTCATCGGTCAAGCCAGTCTACACCAGTCTTCTCACTACTCACAGTCCTCCCTTGCATCATCCAGTTCAGTCCAACACAACAAAATCAGGAAGATCATCAGTGATAATAAGCGGCAACCTTCACTTACTCCTGTCTCCTGTCTTCACTTCAAATGCGTCACTCAGCTCTCCATTGTCAATCACTCAGCATGTGGCCTCATTTAGCATAGAGCTGTTCAATGAGGTTCATGAAGATTTGTGGCACAACGTAGTGTTGAAGCAACTGCTGCCAAATTACTTCTCGGTCAACGCTGTAGAAGGCCTTTTCAAAGTCGATGAAGCTGAGGTAGAGAGTTGACTGCCATTCTACGCTCTCTTCTATGATGATGCATAGTGTACCGTTGTAATTTGATCCATATGTGATTTGTACTTCCTGAAGCCAGCCAGCCAGTCTGTTCTGGTCGTAATTTGAATCCAGAGCATCTTTTAGTCTTTCCAGGAAGATGCGGTTTAATATTTTGCTTCGGGTGGACAGGACCATGATTTCTCACCAGTTCTTGCAAACACTTAGTTCCCTTAGGTTCTTTGAAAGTTTGACAACGTGGTCTCTCTTACAATCAACCGGCAGCTACCCTTCCTTCTTTCCTTCAAAACCTTCTGCAACGGTGGTGTGAGCATGTCTGCTGTTGTCTCTGCGTCTGTTCTCAGTACTTTTGGTGGAATTCCATCTGGTCCTGCTGCTTTCCCGGTTTTCAGCAACTTTATAGTGTTCAGGACCTCACTTTGGCTTTTGTCGGAGGGTCTACGTTCACTGATAATTCTACAGTTGCTGGTGGTATTTCAGGACGAGTTGCAGGTGGTAGTAGTGGTCGATTCAAGAGTTTTGTGAAATGGTCACCCCATCATTTCCTTTGTTTCTCCTCCCTCTTTGGTAACTAGGTTCCCTTCACTATCTTTCATTGGTTTCGTCTGAGTTGATCTCTTCCCTCCCAGATGGTAACCTGGTTGTTTGATATAGTGTTGTCAAGTCTCTCCTAACTTCAGCCTGTTTTGCTTCACTCGCAAGTGCGTTGTAGAAGTGTCTTTCGTCTTTCCACGCACTCTTCTTTGTCCAATGTTTTATAGGTTGCATTCAGTTCCTCTTTTCGTTGTTCAGCTCTTGACTGCACTGGTTCATCTTCTGCTTTACCACCTTCCTCTCCTTTATGAGCTTCCATGTGTCCATCAAGATCCATCCCTTGTCTTGTTTGTTCTTCCCAACACGTTTATGCAAGTTTCTTTCCACATCTCTTTCAAAGAGGTTCACTGTTCTTCCAAGCAGGTGTTGGTTCATATAAGAGGTATATTCAACAATCAGTATCACACTAAAAATTAGTTCTAGCAAAGGCACCGCTTTGCAAATAATCTAAGGGCTACACCAAAGCTATATCAAGTGAATTATTATTGATACTAAGAAAAGAGAAGATAGTATCAGCGATGGGGCTGGTAGCAGTGAGAGATTACAAAGAGAAAAGAAATTGTGAAGTTAATGGTAGTTAGGTGAGACATTTGGGCTTCCGCAGAATTTTATGCAGCTAATGCAGACTGCGTTGACATATTATGCAAGTAACTGAAAAACTGAATTATTGTTGTAAGTTCCTCAACCGGATGAGTGACAGTCTCATGAACTTCAGTCACATAAAAACGGTCCATAAGTATTGTTCTCTTGCAGCTCAATCTGCTATTAGGAAATCTTACCAGGTACAACAGGATTTTTGATGTACAGCAAAGCGTGGCAAATACTGGCACAACTTTTCAGTTCCATCTTGTAACAATAAGAAAGTGACATCGCAGAGGATGCAAGTTATTTGACTGGATATACTACTACTAGTAGTGCTTTTCATAAGGTTTATAGCAGTAAAATAATAAAGGTTTGTGTTCTTACTCCACTAGATTGAACTGGTTGGGGTATCACAACTTCAGGAAGAAAGTTTTCCAGTCAGAAAAATTATTAATAAAACGTAAAAGAAAGATCCTGAGGTAACAGCCAAGGTCAGGAAGTGCTAATCATAATAGATGCCAATAGTACTATACACAGCAATCCAGTTATAAAATGACAATGATGCAACCGAAACCTAAGTACAGATTCATGAAATATACAATGTACTATCTCTATAATGTTAGGGCGAGCTACATCTGTAGGCAGAAACGTGGTCCGAACTGTGGGCCACTTGGTTGAGTGTTAAATTTACCGCGTGAATAAATTTATAATCTAGGTGTGGTGAAGAGTAAAAAGGGTTTCCGAAAAACAGCTAATTTTCCGATTATTAAAACCTTAAGAACCAACTGTTTATTGTCCATATGATAAAAAACAAAGTGCAAAGAAACTTATGTAGGTAAAGCGAATATTTTTATATGTATAGCATGATTTCAGTTTTGCTGTCTTGAGTTCTCAATACATTACCAAAAAGCATTATACATAAGAACTTCAAAGTTGTGCGAAAATGATGCGAAGAAACGTGCAATGGATTGCTTATGCATGGTACATATGATAAAGAGTGAAGTGGTCAACCAAGCAGATTACTTCACTAACTCTGGAAGCCAGATCAGCCCTGGTAGTTAGGTAGCCAACAGAATCTCAGTACGGATACAAAAGACTCGACTGGCTTTTGTAAATTCACACCATATACTGCGCCTAAGATATATCAGGCTATCTACTAATTGTTGAGTTTGCTGAGACGAAGTTCCCTCCGTTCCACTAAATGGTTGTGAAACAAAGAACAAACATGGAGGAAATGAGAAGGCTTATCGCATTCGACCACCATTAGCTCATAATCATAATCACCATCAAAATCAACATAGAACCAAACATTACTGGATAACGGTCCTCCATCACTTTTGTAGCACTGATCATGCGTATCGCAGAACCACCACAACAGTAATAACACAGCAGTCAAGCATACAGTTTTAGGCAAAAGATGTAGATCAGCTAATGAAGTTGTAAACCCACATTAACTCAGGTGACTGGGAAATGCGCTAGCATTGCTATCTACCACATACCCTGTCGCAGAACACTACCCAGAGTAGGTTTACGATGAAAAAAGGTTAGAGGCGGCCAGACTAAAATACGACATCAGTCCATGGAGTATATGACTGTTGATCTAAGAAGTGTGGGAAAACAGACTTTTGCCGGAGCCAGTGTGATAACTGACATCGGTAGTTGGTTAATCTAGATAATAATGCTAAGAACCGATCTCAGTACCAAAGATGAATCCGCCAACTATATTTAACTAAATCATCATATCAGCTCTAGCTATTGTTTTACCCCCCCCCTTCCTCTCTTTTTATGACTTCCTACAACTTTTAATTGCTGCCTTCCGTATTTCTCCATTTTTTATCTCGTTGCGTTGTATCTGGGCTAATATGCAGCGGAGGTGGTGGATTATTAACCAGTAGTAATAGGTCCCAAGTTAATACTAACTGATTGACAAACCATATTCACATGGAGCTAAAAATCTTGGTAACACTTTTATTCATAGACGACATTCAAATTTGCAACATTTTTACATTTTTATACTTGATGAACCAAGTCCAATTTCGCCGTCACTAACAAAACCTACAAGTCATAACTGCTAAAAAGTATTTGAATGGTGTGATGGAAGAACTAGAAACAGTTCCGCCAAGCAGTCAGGGATTTCAAGTAACGTCAGAAAATGCAGAAAAAAGAAACTAGTTAACTATCAAACAGTCGCACAACAGTGCGGTGGTCTAATTTACTAGACTTCGCAATACCATAAAGATGAAACCATAAAAACGAGAAAAGTACTAAAATCAAAAAAGATATGTGGAAGAAATGATAATGAGAATGATAAGATTTTCAGAACATATCTGCAACACTGTGATCGACCTCAGGTCATGCCAATGCAGTTCCCCATCCAACGAATTCTAACAACCGTGATCCTACCAGAACTTAGCAATCCTCAGAGGACCCCTTTATGACAGGAAAGTCATAAAATGGCGTCTTTGGCTTTCACCAACCATGTCTCACAACCATAAAACAGTACAGAATGAATTGATGTGCAGTTAAATATGATTTCGATTCAGTCACATGCAATATGTGATAAACAATCAACTAAAAAAAAAACCACGGTTAGTAGTAACTTGCATCTACTTAGTGGAGTTGTGGCTTACAAACAAAGGCAATCGATTCTTAACTATTGGGTCGTGGGTTCGAGCCCCACCACCTACCTAGATTTAGGCAGCCAGATAGAATCATACACCCCTACATATTTGGTGTGGCTCATTGCCTAGTTAACGTGTGGTCGCACGAGGTTGCCAAGTTATTCTATATATCAGCATACGTCACAAAACGCAGAAGCATAGTTGTTACAGTATCACATTAAAACTGCATTACTTAACACTGATATCTATTCTCACTTAGTAAGTCACCAGTGGAAAACATGAAAACACCATACGTAATCTACACGTAACTTTCAAACTAAACTAATTCATCAGTTTGTTCACCTAGGGTGACTATAGAAACCGATTCCGTGTACGCTGAAATTAAGATTTTATCCATTGTATACTGATTTTATGCTGGTACTTCATTATTTTTAGTACATACATTGCTTAAAGTGTTCCGCTCTAGCACGATAACCAAGAATTAAATATCGTTTTGCATGGTGATCATAATAATAAGCTCACATATCTTATTTATGAAAGACAAAAGTATCGCACGAACACCTAATTCGGATTACTTCACCCGAATCCCGTTACTACTAAATATCATTCTAAATGCAACACTATTTCAATCCCTGGTACAAAAGTCGAACGAAACAAAACAATGTATTTATGATTGTTGAGGTTTCCTATACAGAATCGACATATTTAATCGTGATAACCAGTTGAAATTTTTTTCGTTGTGCTATCTGGTTATCATTGCCCATTAAACTAAACATGAATCTCCAAGAATACGATATTATTATACGAGTAACAATAAGATGGAACTAATGGAGGCAAGACCTTGAGTATACGTATTTTTGCGAGTGAAAAACTATAGAATGTCTTTTTAAGTAGTCAGACAAATCTAGATCCTGTTGTTGTACTTTAGCATTCAGCAAACCAAAACAATCAACTACCAAAAAGAAATAACTACAAAATTTAGTTTGAATAGGATAATAAGAGAGTAACTTACCTCAACACATGAAGTAGTGTTATTAGCTAGGCGGTCTAGTTCACCTGATACAGCCTGTTGAGCACAATTTAGCTCTTGGATACATAAATGCATCTTGTAAAGCATAATTTCAGAGCAACGTCTCAGTGCAACATTGAAAGTTATCACATTATGATTTAGACCAGCGTTTGATGATGAAGTTTCAACGGGTGTAGTGGTGTCATGGTTGCTATTGCTAACTGCTAAACATGCTGAATCTAAAGGATCAACAGATTCAGTTAATGAAGTTGATGTTCTTGTATTACCATTCACAAAGTTTTGAACAGCATGATTACGACCTCGACATTCACTACAGAACACCATATCACAAGTTTCACAAAACAGTAACTCTTGTGATGGGTGTATACAGCACTTGGGTACAACATCCCGTCGTTGGGTAGCCAGTAAATCTAATAACTGATTTACTATAAAAGCTGGAGGAAAAGATGATGCACCACCAGATGGGATAGCAATATTCTCACGGCAAATTGGACACCGAAATGTCTCAGACTGAACCTAAGGAAATAAAGAAAATTAAAAGCGATTTAGCTGAAATTTATGATGACACGATGATTGGCGGCGTCTGTTCACTAAGTTGAAGTAGACTTGCTGAATACAATAGAACTATGCATTGTCAGTCAGTAAGTCAATATCAACATAGGAGCCGGCACTACTGCTTAACGACTCACATCGTCACACATCACACTGACAAATAAGGTGAGAATGCAACAACATTAAAGCTGAAAAATAAAGAAGAAATTAGTCAAGAGCAGTACAAAGTCGTAAAGGAAGCAAGGAGGAATAAGAAAATATTGAAGTTCAGTATGATGATTAAGATGAAGATGATGGGTGGGTAAATCTGCGCCATCGGGATAGGTTCTGAACCATGCCGCCTAAAGTCTCCAACCACTGGTTTATGTTGCCATGCTGACCCCAGCCGGAAAGTTTACATTACCCTACACCGCTAAGACTAATAGTCAAAGACTTTATGGATTCACGTCATATTTTAGTCTAGCTGCTTCCAACTTTCATCTTAAACCTACTTCATGTGACAACGTGCGATGGGACGGACAGCGACTAGGCATGCATAACACATATCCCGGCTACCTCAGTCCCTGAAGGCTCATAACCTGACTTTCCCTATTCCCTAAAATTCTACACCTGACTTCTGAATTACCGAGGTAATGATACCATAACAAGACTCATGCCACCAAGGAGACAGTGTTTGAGTAGGTGGAGCTCCCTCATGTTGTCTACCTTTAATAATTTTTCACAATCGCATAGTAGAACAAAGCGAACTGCAGCGAAGTATACGCTACCCTTACTAGGCAATCGGATATCAAGGTGGGGCCATAAATGGCGTAAGTTGGAGAAGGTCAAACAAGCCTTCTGCATCCTTGCAGAGATTTTGTTGGCCGTTGATCCCTCACGGTTGATCCCATTTCTCATATGAGTGAAGTAATAAACAAATTCAACCACCACACTCCCTACCGTTAAACAAGGTACCAACGAAGAACAGTCCTGGAGCAGCAACTGGCAGTAAGGTGGCGAGAAACGAACAGCAAACATTCTCTGATTGTCACCCAAGGCGTCTATAAGTCTTTACACCTTGTCAGCACCTTCACCTGAAAATGCTGTCATCTGCGTTCAATAAAGTCGAATCACGACTTATAAATTAAGGCGACGGGAGGAAAATTATCATAAAAACGTCTACAACAAACGTTCAAGAATCGAAATGTTAATTGATTTACATTATCGCCTCGACAACCATGAGGGTGGGGCTCAGACAATGACCAGGTTACATGAGAAAGTAAATCTTTAAGCACAATGCGGCAACTTTTCCTTGATACTATCGACAATGAGTTAAATTAACTGAGGAAATTTCTTATTCAAAATGAATACCCATCCAGATTTATTGAGAAAAACTTAAGATTAAAACAGAGTACAGAGCAAGTACTCACAGCTACAGAGAATACGTTGTTTATGAACGTTGATTTCAAAGGTTACATGGCAACAAAGATCCAGAAGAATCGTATTTCCAAATCTCTGAAGAAGACATTCATCTATGATAAAATCAGATAAATATGATGAGAGTGGATAATCTTGACGGACACCACTCGACAGGCACAACTCAGCACAGATGTTCGAAGATAGAACCTTCGAAGGAGTGGTATACTAATCTAGCACACCTGTCAGTGAGAAACACTGCCATAAAACCTTTCAATCGACGGCTAGTTTCAAGTGTCACTAAATGTTCCTGTGTTGCAGAACCTGACGAAGGGTAAATGTTTGGCCGATACAGGCATGTACAATGTTTGAAACAGGAATGTACTGAAAAGTGACCAACCTCCTCAAAAACTGTCAATATGATATTAAAGTGTGCAAGGCGACACTTAGTTTACGAATTTATTGAGATCCAGACCCGAAAATATGCCAAAAGAAGTCTTCTATGAACTAGTTACTCAAAAACTCAGTAAATAATCAAATATAGTGCCAACACTAAGAACCAAGTGTTCATGATATTTGGTATCCATTTTCTAGAAGGATTTGAAGGAGTCTAAAGTAAAACATCGATATATGGCAGGCAAGGAAGTCAGATGTATATAAACTACATAGTCTATGATGCAAATGTCCAGATTTCAAGATGTGGTCTGCACGACACTACAATTGACGTCAAGAGAGTGAGTAAGAAAGCTTTGCGAAACACAAAGCCCCCTGGCATGAATGATCGTAGGCAACTAGGACCAGTCAATGGTGTCTGTAAATCAAACCTAGATGATAAACAAACAACAGAACACAGACAAAAATCAATGTAGAACCTCGCACGAAACGGCATAGGTTCCAGTTGCCACATTTCAAAAGAGTTTGAAAAGAACAAGTAGATAGCCAAACACTGATATCTAAGAAACGAAAGGTGTGTAGGAGGAAAAGGAATTAGGAAATCAAGGTTGGTGAAAAATGCTCAAACTTTACATGTCAAACTGAATTAATTCACGCCATTGTGGCTGATTTTCAGCCACGTCACCAAGAGTCTTCAACCACTGATTCTTATCGTCTGAAAGACCCCAACCAGGTAGTCTATACTCCATCGCATGTCTCAGACCGAAAGTTTAAGATTCCATGAATTGGTACCACGTTTTAGTCTGGTCATGGTGCGGCCACTTGCAACATAATACTACTTCGGACAACATTGCGCATTAAGGTAGGCGGTGGCTGGGTATGAGCAACGCATGTCCAAGCTACATCAGTCGTTGAAGGTTCACAACTTCATCGACTGATTCAACTTCCTTGCCTAGTACCCTTAGCCTATCCTGAACATTGCTCACATGGCGATTCCAGCATATATGAGCGATGCTGCAAAAACGCCTATGGTCAAAAACCTGTAACGACAAACAGACGAATCAAAGCAGAAAGTGCCACGTAAGCCTTACAGCAGTATACAAAGAAGAAGTGGATATCGGAGAAAAACTCGAAATTTACTCAGCAACCTTGTGGACATTCGTGCAGTGGGCAGTGAGACACATCTAGATTCTGGGGGTTAATAATACTACCTCGCTGTCCAAACCTCAGTAGGTGAAGTTCGAACCCGCAACGCATTGGTTGAAAATTATCTCCTTAAACCAGTGAACCACAGCTCCGCAGATCGTAATTTTAGGGATCAGAAATAATGATAACACTAAAGTAGATAGACGTGTTAGAGCAGAACCGAAGAGGAATAAATAGGTTAGACTTTAAATGTGTTCAAGATTTAAACACTATGACGATCTGAACATAAGATGGTAATTCCTCTGTTTTGGCGGCGAGTTCATTGGTAGAGCCTCTAAACTTCATTTCAAACATTGTTTAAACCACCTGCATTCCGACTAACTACCTGGGAAGACTGGCGATACCTATGTTTGGAACATGTTTGCAAACTAAAGTGTGTAGTGAGAACAAAACAGTTAAATGACTTGATCGTGAAATTCTATTTATCACCAGCCTACTCAAGTATACAGCCAAAACTCAAAATCTTTAAATGATTCGGCTTCGAATTGAATCCATTCAGACATGCCAGTGTTGATCATTTTGACCTGGCTATAGAGCAGAACAGGTCAGTATGAGTTATTCAAGTCAGTAACATATTTTTTGGTTGAGTTCATTTTCAAAGCAAAACTACAAAAATAGACAAAAATGTTATCCAAACATATATGCAGCTCAGACAAATTTCTCATGATAAGGTAAATTTTGAGTAAATCACCTTGTTTGACAGTTAAGTATTCACTATCGAATAGCTAGCGAGTATACTATACAACTGCTTTCGGTCAATCTTACATCTTATTGAATTTTGTTAGCAACAAACAATATAATTATGACAAAAGTAAATACGTTAAGACATACAGTACCGAGAAAACTATGAATCTAAAAGACTTACAGAATACAACACTTGCAAATCAAGTAACAATACATCATTCAGAACAACAAATAAACAACGAGTATGATAATAAATGAGCGATGGAACTCACCTCATTAGAGAGAATTCGATCTAAACACGAACGACAAATTGTATGAGAACACGGTAATAATTTAGCAGCACGTTCATTTGAGTTATACCCACTGAAACATGTGCCACAAGTTAGGAAATTGTCCGCGAAGTCGTCAACATTAATCATAACTGTTTCGACCAAACGAGATGACATCTAAATATAATCAAAACATATACAGTAGTGCAACTTGACATCAACCATATTTATCAAAAAGTGGGATGTAACTCCTCAAACATGTGCAGGATTGTGCACAAGGGTGTTAGTCATACCTAGTGTGAGGGCTACTGATACCACTAGACTGCTTCGAAGCCGATAGGTGGAACGCGGTTCGAACCTGTGACCCACTGAGTGAAAATCAACTATCTACACCAATGAACACCGCCTACACTGAACTTTATAGTGGAAGCGAACATATAATCTCAATGTGACATCTCATAAGTTAAATAGAACACCCAAAGTGGAGAAATCAGTAACAGTAGCTGGTACACTGAATGTCATTCTTGGTGTAACATCTAGCACATTATTTGACTTTAATTACCCCCGTAGAAGCTACCTTCAAATAACACAAATTTGTTTTGTATGAAGCGAAGTACCAATGTAAAGTCAGGGTTAGATTGTAGTTGAGAAACTATAATGCATTTTATAACTAGGAAAAACATACTTATCAAACAACTAATCAAAAGTTCTTAATATTTTTTATCAACACTGCTGATAACCGTTGAGAAGGTGGTTTATTTAGATTCAAACCCTTAAACGGTCCTTAGTAAAATCTCCAGGTCCCTCTGCTATTTTCGGTATTGTTTCTCGTGGCTTGACTTCATATGAGATATCACAAATTTCGTGTGGAGCTAAGCACTTGTGAATTCCTCTCTTAAACCTGCATTTAAAAGGAATACGTTTTAGTAGGGTATGTCAACGCACTTAAAATAAAGGTCATCAAGGAGAAGAGGTTAGCTCTGTTCTACCATAAAGCTGCGACAAATGGTCACTGAAAGTTGAAGGAACAAAACCTCATGTTTATTATTACGCATCTCCGTAACATTACGTCGTAAGAGTTCCTGATAAGTCAAACACAAGTAGTCCAACTACTGTTTCTCCTTATCACGAAACAGTCTTTGTTCGAAATCAGTCCAAGAAAGTTCTTAACTCTAATCAAAAATAAAAGGTAATTAATCCTGACTGTTCAACGCCCAGAGCTAAAAGAACCTAAGTAGTAAACTACAAGTCAGTATACTAACAGCGCTCTGTTGAAGACCTTGATTTCGGCAGTAATCAATCAACTGACCAGTATGAACTAATTGGGTACAGACTTATTTAGAGGGAGATAAAAAATTTCTCATAAATGCAAGAGAATTTAAGAAACCAGAACATTCACCATACATAACAACCTCATTGTTACAGGCTAAAACTCCCGTTGGTGTCGGGTGCCGAAATATTAACACTATATGTTTATTTAGTTTAGTGTGAGCTGAATCACCACTTGAAGTTCTTTTCATAAAGCAACACTAGGCAGACTTATTAGTCGCATTGGATTTAACCATCAGGATATGTTGGTCACCGCATCCAATTTATAACGTACCTCACCATCTTTTGTTGTACACTATCCGCTGTAGAAAGTACCCATGTAACATTGCCCGGTTTGTATTAAATACATTATGTTCCCCTGAAAACAAATGAGATAAATTGTTCTGGGTGTTATTTTGAAAAAACCCTATATTATCATCTATAACCTATTCAATTGCAATATTTGAATCTGTAGTTGTCACTTATTAACTCAAAGGAATTATATCACCCAGTCCTGATATCTTGAAATCTGGATGCACTCCGACATGGCACTTATAACCTACCCAATACGTTTCATAAGAGTATTAGACACCTGACTTCGTTTGGCCCTATTCCTTAAGCTACAGAAAAGTCCGATATCTTTAACAGGTTTTAAGCAATATACCCAGTCACTTGCCTACCGCAGCTTTAGCGAGTACATTAAGCGATCGGATGTTAACTTGGATTGAAAGGGAAGCTACGATTTTTCTAGACTTATGCAAATACCAGAGAGTAAATACTAGCGGTATTTTACTTGAATAAACCAGAGATCCTGATAATCCTTCACTTCAGTGAAGCAATATGGTTGGAAAAATACCACAGCTAGCCAACACCAGGTTTTCTGGACACTTTCCAGGAAAGGCTGGGGTACACTTCCTAACTTTTGGGTACGTCCCCAAATGCCTTACTTCGCAAACTTTAGCGCTCAAACGGAACTCTTATACTTTTGCAAGTTGTCCAATTAAGGAACAGGAATCAAAAGACAAAAATTAATCACACACACTATTATTTCGGAGTCTGTTCGAGTCCTCGCGAAGTTTGGGGAGACTGCTGACTGACAATCTCTGGTGTAACGCAGTATCAGTAATTATAGGCACAGATTTTGACGAACTTTGGAGCTTTTGGAAATCTCGCGTGAAAATCTTGGGTGGACTTTGGAAGCTTTACAATTTTCGGATAAAGCGTTTGGTGCATTTCGTGAAAATTGGAAATTCGGGTCTGGCTTTGGACCTTTAGAAATGTTTCGAGTTTCGGAATTGATGGAAAGATAGTTGCGAGAATCACAGTGTGCTTAAACCATATGTCGCAAAATCTTAAGCAAAAAATCTACAAGATCGCTGGTTTAAACCAGCCCAATTAAGTTGATTTGGTGTCCAACTCAAATCTGGTTTACAGCACAAGGCAATAGATCCGAACAGTTTAAGTTACGTGTCAATTAAAGATTTCAAAAATGTCACTAAATATATTTGTTAGTACTGCACAACAATTTATCCAGTCAACGTTTGCGCGGGGCAAAACACGGCGGCATGTTGCAGATCGCAATGAAAACACGAGGCAGAACTTAGGGCAAAATGCAGGATTGTGCAACATTTCTCCCAGTTTTTATGCCCCACATTTTGCCCTGCGTTCCCCATTGATTTGCCCCGCAAAAACGTTGACCGGGTATATTTCCGAATCAATTCTGGTCTAAAATTTGAAATATTCCATTTTCTTGCGACTATTGTCACTTGAATTACTCAATGAGACCTCAAAAGAACAAAAAAGATACATAATGAATGCGTACCATTGATGAGGTCATCTCCAAAGGGACAAACACGCCCATATGCAGTACAAACCAACCAACCAATCAGAGTGTGGAAATCAAGAAACCCGCCGAAAGATCTCAAGTCCAATATAGGAAATCTGAAAATCAACTTATTTTCTAGTTGTTTACTAAAAATTTCTACTATGTCAGTTTTGAAGGACGAAAATTATGTCGTCGGAATAAACTTATCACCACTGCTTGCCTTCTCTGTGGTGCTTCCCATGAATCGGATATTGAATCGGTTTCTAATTCGCAGTTTGAGATAGAATGTCAGGAGCCTATAGCAATGCCCATTTACAGAAAGATTCAGCTGACTGTTTCTTCAATTAAAGCTCATATTACTTCAAATGTGTCATACAAATAATGTTTCTTTACATTTATACGACAACACTTGAAGCCTAAACGAACATGTCAAGCGGCAATGGTTAACTATTGTCTTTCACTCTGGCAGAGGGCTGTCTGCGGAAAGCATCTGTCTCAAATGAATTCAGGCCATTGGTGGTGGAATGGATAAACTAATTTCGAGGTAGATTTTTGCATCCAGGAGCCGAGTATAAATAGTCCCTCTGTTAGAAAATTTCGGCGCATAACAAAAAACTTACTCTGTAAGCATGCACGGAGACATAACCGGAATCGGGTTCCAACTCAGAGCAATCTGATAATGTGGTCTAAAGAACCTGTCGTTGGCATGTATCTCATGATGGTAAAATTAAGTAGTGCGCAACATACATGATTTTGTCAAGTATGAATAACCGATCGGTACATTCACCCCACTTAACTCAGTCAGTTCCCCGGTCAATTTGTTTTGGAACCTCCCAAAAAGCCTCTATTTCAAGTCACTTAAGGTCCTACTTCTTTAGCCGACTGGACGGGTCTGCTATGTCTTACAAACATAATGAAATTTGATGTGGCCATGGTCATGCTGGTTAGACGTAGGAGAGAACTACAAGTTTATTCGCCACAAATTCCACACTAGTGGGCCATCAGCCGAACTATTTTTTGTTAGTTGTTGACCTCATGTTTTCTGTCAGTTCTAATTCAGCAAGATTAATAGGTCTGACCACGGAGAAATCATTGCTTCTAATCTATGTTTGGTCTGAAAGACGCAATCTAAGATATTAAGATCGGCCAGAATAGAAAAACAGGCATGTGGCCCCATGCATATCACCCTGAAGTCTTAAACTGTTTTATGAAACGGTGTACTGATTCCGCCATACAATTAAATTGTTGGATGTAGTTTAGACGAGCTCCTGAAGGCGAAGTGATATGGAATGCTACTCCTTTATTTGGATATCCCACCATCAAATTATGGTAGGCTGTCTGTGACAGTTGGTTATTTGCTTCAGACGTTTTATCAGACTCATTATAATTTCTGTTTCTGATGGTGGGCTATCGAGCAAAATACGGCTGCTTTGTGTTTCTTATTTTACAGCCAGTGTGAATGTATGTGAACATTTTGGGCGATGATATCAGTTTTTCAAGAAAAATTACAGAATGGCTACCGCCATGGGAGCCACTGGAACACCATTTTGATGGACTCCCTTTGATAGCCACCATACTTTTAAACCACACGGAACAGTCTGTGGTCAACAAATTTCATAGATCTTTGAAAATTTCCACTCGTCTTCCTTAGTGGAGGTCTTCTCACTGCACTTTGTGAACCTCCGGAACTATGAAGTTTCCAGCACGTGAATAAGTACACTCCAGCCCTCCCATAAGCTGACTGGCCTTTCTGCAACGAGAATGTAGGATGTCCGGTAAAATTCGCATATCCATTATGGTAACCATTAAGTGAAACGGCAACAGCATATTGGGAAAGCTGTGCAGGTGCTTTTTCAAATTTCTAAGTTGCATCAAACATTTCTTTTCACAATTCCAATTACTTCGTACATTTACATCCACACATTTGAAGATACATTTTGTGTGCCCGTATGGATGAATTTTACCACTGGTACAATTTGTTCTACCCACTGAGTGGGGACAGTGAGTAAAGTTATTCACTCCTGCCGTGTTCTCCTTTCATATTCTGCCTATGGCCGGCTCTAGTAAATTAGTTACTGAAAATTCAACGTGGGACCTATCTCGTCGCAAACGCACTGGTAATCCGCCAAGTGAGACGATTTCCCAAGTTTCGTTTTCACCAAGGCATTCTACTCTTCGGAGCGTGTTTCCGATTCTAAACTTGTAGCACGCTGGACCAAAATCGCTACTTCCATTTTCGCTTATTTTCCCGTATTATGCTTAGTTCACTGACTTTCTGATTACATTTTTTACCTGTGAACCATTTGTTGCAGCGGCTTTCACATTGGCGCTTACATAGTGTAAGGACCTGGGTTTTCGCATTAACTGCCATGCAGCCAGCTGCAAATTTCTGGCAAATCCTTTGTAGTTGGCACAGTCTCAGGAACTAGATTTACGGATTGCCTTATGATGCAACTTCCGCATTTCTTCAAAATTTTGAGAGGTTGTTTCAATCAACAGTGGGAAGTTCTCGAGTTCCGCACGACCGAATGTCACAAATGGCCCCACTGCAATCCACCTCTGACCTATATCTTCCACTGTATGCTTTCGATAATCCGTGTGCATGATTCGCGTATATTAAGGCCCTATCCAAGATGGGTAACATATGATGCCAAGCATTTTAGTGTGACTTCTAGAATGGTGGAGAATATTTACAGCTCAGCTGCCTACATTGTTGAGGCAATAATCGCCGAACTTACCATGGAGGTTAGGGATTTGAATGATTATATTCCTGAATAGACACCTTATGAGAGGCATGATTTATGTATCAAATATCCGTCTGGAATGAAAACGCCCGCAACGACTTCAGGAAGTTCCCCACTATATTGTTTATCTGACACAGTATAATTTAATGAATGAGGTTTTAACAAGATTTTATCGCTCGCGCTCATGTTTACATACTCTGGCAGCTTGCGAGCAGGTTGACAAAAAACCTACGGAGCTTCTGACACATATTAGGAAACTGTAATCCCGTACGTTCGAAATTGTGCTACATTTTAACGTGATTTCTGCCATTTACTCTAAATTGGTTTATCTGTGTACTGCAGAGACGGCATGGATCTTACAGGACTGCTCATCCTACTTCCAAGTTTCACGACGATCAAGCCAAACAACGTCTACTGTGGGAAGCCAACAAGTATTGCCCCCTGAACTAACTTTAGAGTGTACCAAATTGCTTTTTGCCACTCAAGCCGGTCCAGAACTTCCAGGCAGGGATCGCAGAGAACCGTTTGGTAGCTTCCGACTGTCCCCTGGCATTGCCCCAGATCCAGAATCAAAGACAACCGTAATTAGATGTCACAGGGATGCTGACTGTGAAGGAAAGCAGTACATTTTGTGATGCTTGACCTGGGGTTCTTATTACACCAGTAGCTCAACCCATGAACTAAGTGCTATCTTCTACAATTGTATGAATGCAACTCACGATCATGTTGCTGCAGCGGTATCAGTAGCAATTCGAAGTCATAAAGTGAATTTCATCCCAGAAGATGTAGGGATCAGCATGTGCAAACATGTCAGAAATCTCCATCGATCCAATGGCTTTCCGTCTCTTGTCCCAGTAAAAATTGCCCATGAAAACTTCAAACCAAATGGATCGTTGAAAGCGATCAATCAGGAAAGTAGCTGCGATGCATAAACAGGCAATGTCCAATCTTTAGTGAGAATTTTAAAACCTGCTGCCAACTTATCGAGAGTGATTCCAAGTAATCTGATCATTGACAGCGACACTCTTTACGACCACCAAATTATGCTCCATGAGCTGTTTAGTTATTATTTTGCAGGATCCTTAACGCATGAGGATGGTGCACTGGACGCACAAATACCCATTCCACCAAGCTGCTTGCTGAGCAACGTTTCCCTTACCCAGCAAAAGATAGCTGGCGTGGTTGCTTCATTAAAGAACTCATGCACTGCCGGGCCTGACGAAATCCTATCTGTTCTCCTAAAGAGATTGTGAAGAGATACCACTGATCATTGTGGAGCTGTTCTCGATATCTCTTGCTAAAGCATGGTAACCTGACCGCTGGAAGCTGTTTTAGGATTTGTCATGGTGCGAACTCGACAGACGCAAAGACCAATCACTAATTATTCGGACCCGCTATGTACCCACGAATATGAGACCAAGGAAGAACACGGTAGAGTAGTCGGGTGGAACAGTATATTTTGGCGGTCGTGCCAAGATACCGATATGTTCCAACTAACTGGTTAGAGAGTCGAGTACGAGCAGTGCAACGCAACACGACAGCTTGCCAGATGGCGGGGATGCTTGACTGGGTGCCTTCAGCTTAGCCAGTCCAGTTAAATTATCAAGGTCAGCATCGATGTCGAATGTCGTCGAACCCTAGGCTGTTGATTTTGGGGAAGTATATGACGCTACACTGCCGTACAAATCTCTCACATATAAATCTGGCCAGACGCCAAATATTCGAAACTATCACCCCATAAATACTACATCTGTAGTCTATCGTGTTATAGAGAATGTAGCCATGCAAGAAATTACCGAATATATGGTAGCGCATTGTTTACTTTCTCCTACACAGCATGGTTTCTTGAGAAGCCGTTCATGTAATACTTGCTTACCGGGTTATTTTGAGGAAGTCACCAGGAGACGTAGCGAAAGTCTTTCGTAACTGCTGCATTTTTTGACTTCAGAAAAGCATTTGATAATGTACCTAATAAACAGTTAATTCTAGAGCTTGATTCATTTGGAATCAGCTACCCGCCATTATCGCGTACTCAAATAATAAAGTCCAATCACGCCTATTCCTTCTCAAAGCCTGCTTTGGGTGGTATGATTCAAGGTCGTGTGTTGAGGCCCTTACTCTGCCCTCTCTACACAAATGTTTCTAATGCAATAAAATATGGCAAGTCCCACCTGTCTGATGATGACACAAAAATCGAGTATTGCTACCCAGCACTAAGTGGGGGGGTTCAATGGGACCAGGGATGACCTAAAGAATCTGCTCACCTGGGGTGAAGTATGGCAACTTCCACTCGCCGGTAAATGTAGGATTCTCTGTCTTAGTA